GGAAGAGGAGACTCCGAGGGGATCTGTTGGAGACATACAGGTATGTGAGGGGGCGTCACACGGAGGTGGGGAGAGACCTGTTCTCCCCTGCAGAGGAAGGCAGGATGCGCTCCAACGGAGCCAAGCTCAGGGAGCCAAGGTTCCGTTTGGATGCCAGGAAGCACTTCCTGACAGTCAGGACCCCGAGGGTGTGGACTGGGCTTCCACGGGAGGTGGTTGAGGCCCCATCAGGGAGGGTGTTCAAGGATAGGCTGGACGTGCACATGGTGGGCATGTCGTGAGCGGAGCCGGCTGGAGCCGGGGGTCAGACTAGATGGCCCGGGAGGCCCCTTCTGACTCTCTCTGTTTCTGTTTCTATGTTTGGGTGTCCTTTTTGGGTATCCTTGACACAAACCATCAGCTGCCAAGTTGCATGCATACCACTGTCCTTCTACTGCTCATCTGAATGAAAACATCGCTCTTTCCAAGGGCGTGTACACAAGTATGCGATTATTACTGTTGTTAATCTTATCACTGCTTCTCTTTCCACACCCGTTGAGCAGATCAGAAAACTGGCCAGAAGCCGCTGAAGAATCTGTAGGTGCTCAGGTCTCCCGCTTCTGCACCTCACCCCTTCCTGCCATGGGGATGATCAAAGGTCAGTGCGTGGCCCTCCATGGAAGGAGTGCTAAATTTCTTGATCTGCTTCTGTGAACAGCATCTTACACCATGGATAACTGGGCCAAAGAGAGTCCGGCTTCTCTGGGGCTACTGCTGGTTTGTCTTTGGTCTCTAAAAGGAGATATATTTGTCCGTTCCTCCAGTTGTGTTACATGTACAGATATGTTTGCAGGAACATCTGTATCTAAATTTCTTTATCTCCTCTAATGTAATTGCATATGAAGGAGTGTGTGTGTGTGTGTTTGTGGAGAGTCTGCAATATTTTGTTTTCATAGCATAACGACCTATAAACTAGCGATACGTCTCCTAATGCCTTCCCCAAGCACACTGCTCTACTCTAGAGCAAGCCGCAGCAACATGTGCAATGGTAACAGAGAGGGTGTCTAGCCATGTGCAGAGGGCCCTTCCGCTGCTGCAGAGGTACCCAGCCACATGGCAGTTAGGAAGCCAGGTGCAGCTTGGGGACGGATGACCTCAGAGGCTCTTCCTTGTCAGAATTCACAGAGCGGTTTCTTCTTGTGTTCCAGATCCAGGCGAAGGAGGCCGAGCCCCCGCTCTGCAAATGGGAAAAGGGGCACCAAGATGGTAACCATCCGGTTTGGGACCTTCAGGTCGGTTTGGTCTGGCCCACATCCATTTCCTTTTCTGAGCTGCATGACAGAGGCGGCCGTGCGAGGGCCGAAAGCTGGGAAGATGGAGCGGGCCCTTGCACGGTTTCCTTCCCAAAGGTCTTCCAGGACCTGTTGCTGGCATGGAATTGGGGTGCTCCACTTCAGCCCCACATTCGATGAGGCTGCGACTCCAACGATAGCCAAAGATCTCAGGGCAACGTGCGTAATAAAAGCACATACAATAAAACCAAAATCCCTGTTTTCAAAGCAGCGAGGATAACCGAAAATCATTTAGAAGGGATACACAAGCAACCCAATGAAAGGGGGGAAGGTTATTTTAGAATGCAACGTGGGTCATAGCATTAAAAATAAAGCTAGGGACAGCTAAGCAATTATTTTAAAGGGCTCTAATGTGGCCCCAGGTGGTGTGTGAGCAAAAAATACCGCAAAACCCAGTCTTTGCATTCAGTTCCTTCCATACCGTGTTTTTACAGGTGTGTGTCCACACAACACCACTCATGAAAGATTGTCAGTGCAATCGTACGTCCTAAAGTGAGTGTCTTCTGGTTGTGTTTTGCCCAAGGGGATGGGCGTGCGGAGGCAAGCATCAGCGTAGGGCACGGCCGAATGTCTTCAGCTGGCAGGCAGGGCTGCCCCCTCAGCTGCACGAATTCTCCTCCTGTTGAGGGAGGGCTCGGCTGGGTGGAGGGGGGTCCCCAGGTTACATAGAAACACAGAAACAGAGCAAGTCAGGAGGGGTCTCCTGGGCCATGTAGTCTGACCCCGGCACTAGCCGGCTCTGCTCACGGCATGTCCACCATGTGGACGTCCAGCCTGTCCTTGAACACCCGCACCGATGGGGTCTCAACCACCTCCTGTGGAAGCCCATTCCACACCCCAGGGGTCCTGACTGTCAGGAAGTGCTTCCTGGCATCCAAACGGAACCTGGGTTGCTAGTGACCATTTCTCTGGCTGTAGCCATCTCTGCACCAGGCTGGGGCTTTTTGTAGGATTAGGGTTAACCTGGGTTAACCCGCCTGAGCTTCATCAGCAGCAGATGCCCAACAGGGAGCGACCACAGGTCCTTCCTCCTCTCTGCTGGTTTTCAGTTTCTTCCCAAGCCTGACTCTCAGGGCAGATCCTGAACTGCAGCGATCGCTTGGCTTGGGGGCTCGGTGCCTCAGAGGCCCAGCTTTTCCTTAAGCCCTGCCTGGTCCAGCCTTTGGGCCAAAGCCAGTGTGGACGTGGCTTGAGGAAATCCAGATCATCGTCTGCACTCTGCCACAAAGCCCAGCTTTGGGCGGACCCTCAGTCTACCCCACAGGGTTGTTGTGAGCCTGAAATGAAGAGGATGAGGATGGTGTGAGCTGCCTTGGGTTTTCTCTGGGGAGGGAGCTGTGCAAAAGGTAGGAAGCCACCCCAAGGGCATCGAGCCAGAGCCAGAGCGAGGGTGCAGGGCCTTCTGGGGGAAGCACAGGTGAGCCAGGTTAGAACAGGTGGGAACAGGGGTCATCTTCCAGCTGTGACCAGCCAGATGGGGAACTGCAAGGTTGATGTACCGGTGCAAGGAAGCGGACAGCCATGGGATGTGGAGGCTTCTTCTAGGCCAGGGCTGGGCCACGATTCCCCGCGTGCCACAAGCAGCCTCCACCCCTTCAGATTCCAGCTACTCATTCACCGCCTCCCCTGCTGATTTTGCATGAAGTTGTCGGCTGGGGGTTCCCTCCCAAAGGTGTGAAGCGGAGCTCCTGCCACCTTGAATGAGGCTCCAATTACACGGCCGATGAGGTGCCGCTCGAGTGCAAGCGCTCTTCCCACCCCACCCCCAGGAAGGGTGCAGAACGAAGTGGGATCCGCCAAGAGCAGGTGGCCTCGGGTGGCTTCGCTTGAGCAAGCCGCTGACCATCTCTGAGGAAGGCCTCTGGCGCTGTGCTGGGTGAGTACTCGGGGATCCCCCCGCCCAGTGTAGCTACTCTATTATGGGCTAGGAAAGAGCCACGCTGGCTAGCAGGGGCTAGAGGACAGTGGAGAGGCATGCCTCTTTCCTCTGGCTAGCAGAACCAGCACGGACCCCTGGAAAAACCCAGGACTCCTGGGAAAAAACAGCATGTGGATCCTGGAAAAGGAGGAAGCCATTCCTGTGCTTTCAAAAGGGCCCAAGCACCAAGTCAGAGACGGAGCCAGTGAGGGTTGGCTTCTGAAGAGGGTGGGTGTTCGCAGGCCTCAGGTGGCACCAGGGACTGTGGTTGGATCAGAGCCAACGGGGCATCCAGCCCTGTGTTCTGCTTCCGACCGTGACCAGCCGGACTGGTGGGACGAGAAGCTGGCAAGTTCGGCAGAGCAGTGCGTGGAAGTGGACAGCCACGGAATGTGCAGGTTTCTTTTAGGCCAGGGCGGGTCACGTTTGTTCTGCATTAAATTTGCAACTGCCTCCGCGTTCCCTGCTGCACCATGGACGTTCGGGGTGGGGGGTTAAATGGCTCCCAAGCACCGAAGGGGTCAATTTTAGCTTCAGAAAAGGCTACATCTGGCCTGCTTAGTTCTCTGTCGCACTCTCGTGGCTGGAATGCCATTTAAGTTGGCAAAAAGGTAGGAGACAAATCAAGTGAATGCATTACCCCTGCCACAAAAAAACCGATTTTGGAGAGGGGTGGATGCTGTTCAGGCTCCCAGGCACGCTGCTCCTGTGATTCAGACCGTTCTGCCTCTGCGATCTCCATGCATCTGGCAAAACCGTTGTATGGCTGTAAAAGTAACGATTAATTTTACTTGGGGAAATCTTCATTATTGCCCTGCTTCTTCAGCATTGAGTTCCAAGGGAGTCACTGGGTCATAGTCCCAAGCAAAGGTGCTTAGGATTATGACTGCAACTCTTCATGTGCCGAGTCTTCAGGGAGAGATATTCTGAGCGTAATCCTAGCTTTCCAGCCCAGCCTCTCCAAAACCGTGTGATCAACTGCCAGAGATTGAGAGGGTGCTGTGAATCTTATTTGTACCCCACCAAAATCTGGCACATGTGTTTCAAATAGCCTTCCTGGCCAACAAAGATGTATGGATGTGGTAAAATCTGTTCCATCTACTTTTTGATGTTTTTTGTCCTGTCACTGACGGAACTGAGTTCTGTGTTCATATTTATTCATGAAAATGTACAACTCCACCACTCCCCACATACAGATTCCAGAGAAATATGTATTTTCACACTTTAGCCTATGAGGGAAATGTGCACATGTCTGTGTGTGTGTGTGTGTGTGTGTGTGTGTGTGTTTGACTAAATTTGCACAAAATTATATAACACCAGTCTCAGGAAAACTTAGTCTGCTGTGAAATCCACAGATCAGAATCTTAGAACTTTGTATTCACTTGAGTTTGTTGCATGTTTCTCCAACATCCTAGAACCATTACACCTAAAAGGAACCTCCATTTTCATGAGCAGTCTATCCCAATTACAAGTGAGAGGTGATCACAGGTCTTCCATACCTACCAGTGTTCACCAGTGGAGGACCCCAGAACACAGGTTCCTTATCAACGGGTGATCTAGGACAGGGCTTGAACAATCTGTGGTCCTCCGGAAGCTTTGGCTTACAACTCCCATCATCCCTAGGCAATGGCAAGGGATGGTGGGGATTGTGGGCCGGAACCTCTGCAGGGTTTCTATGCACTGTTTTAATTCTCTTCCCCCAATAGCAAAGCTCTTGTGTTGCTTTTTCCCATTTTCAGAAGGCAAGCAACATGCTGGGTTCCCCCGTCTCCAGGCAGGGCTGGCAGGCCCTGTGGCTCCTCCCTCTGGTGGCGCTCTTGATGGCACCTGGACAGAGCTGTCCTTCCAAGTGCCACTGCTTGGCCCAGGACAAGGTGGTGCTGTGCAACAGCCGCAACCTGACGGCCGTTCCAGGCAAGATCCCTCCGGACTCTGAGCTGCTGGACCTGAGCCGGAACACCCTCCGCACGCTGCACCAGGGCATGTTCACCCGCCTCCAGGCCCTGAAGGAGCTGGACCTGAGCCATAACTTCATCTCCAACATCGAACACGGGGCCTTCAACAGGCTGCAGAAGCTGATGGTCCTCCAGCTGAAAGGCAACAATTTGAAGATGGTCCCCGACGGGGTCTTCACTGAGTTGCCCAACCTCTCTGTCCTGGATATCAGTGCAAACCAAATCCTCCTCTTCCTGGACCACTCCTTCAGGGACCTCACCAATCTCCGGAAGCTAGAGACAGGAGACAATCACTTGGTCTTCATCTCAGGACAAGCCTTTGGGGGTCTCCAGCGCCTCAGGCAGCTGACCTTGGAGAAGTGCAACTTGACCAGCATCCCAGCAGAAGCCCTCTCCCACCTCCACCAACTGGTGGAACTCCGGCTCAAGGTCCTGAAGGTCAGCATCGTTCCCAACCACTCCTTCAGGAAGCTGCATCACCTGAAGGTGCTTGAGATCCACCGGTGGCCCTTCCTGACCACCCTGGAGCCTCACAGTCTCTCTGGCTTGAACCTCACGTCCTTGTACATCACCAAATGCAACCTGCGTAACGTCCCTTACAAAGCCATCAAGCATTTGGCTCATCTCCGGGTCCTTGATCTCTCTTACAACCCGATCACAGTGATCCATGGCAGAAAGCTGGTAGAGCTCTCCCACCTGCGGGAGTTCCATCTCACTGGCGGCCGGCTGGCCACGATTCAGACCGAGGCATTCCAAGGCCTTATCTACTTCCGTCTTCTCAATGTCACTGGCAATGACTTGCAGACTCTTGAGAAAGGAATCTTCCACTCCGTGGGGAACCTGGAAGTCCTCAGGCTGGACAGAAATCCTTTGGTTTGTGACTGCCGCATTCTGTGGATCTTTCAGAGGAGGAGGAGGTTGAATTTTGAGTCCCACCAGCCAATCTGTGCTACCAATTCCACAAGGGAAGAGAAAGTCTTCCATAAATTCTCAGATGTCCCTCGGGGTCACTTCACTTGTACGAAGCCTAAGATTGAGGACAAGAGTCCACAGAGAGTAAGTGTCAATGAAGGAGAACAGGCTAACTTGACCTGCAGAGGCGATGGAGACCCTCTGCCAGTACTTTCCTGGGTGTCACCTCAAAATGTAACCTTGGACACCAGGCGCAAAGGTCGAATAACTGTCCTTCCCGATGGCACACTGAAGATCCAGTACGCCCTGCCAGGAGACAGTGGGTCATACCTCTGTGTTGCCAGCAATGTCGCAGGCAATGACACCTCGGTGGCCGAGCTCCATGTCTCCGAGCTTCTTTTCAATGATTCCTTCACTGGGAACAGTCTCCGCTTTCTCAATGAGACGCAGAGCTCCTACCTGCTCCTGGTGGACGCTGGCACCTTGGTGGGCATCCTAGCCCTCGGGATCGTGCCCTTCCTCTGCTCCGTCGCCCTTTGCTTCATCTTCATCTCCCTCTGGAGCAAGGGCCGTGGGAACGTCAAGCACCACATGGTTGACTCAGTACCCCGGATCGCTCATGGGTACAAGGCCTTCTCCAGCCCACACAAGACAGAGGCAAAAAACCCCAGATGACTGGCTTCCAGTGAGCCAGTGGAGCAAACCATCTTGTCCTCCTCAGATGCAGCACCTACACGCTGAGGGAAGTCTTCCATTTCCAATGAATCTCTGCCACTCGTTTGCTCACCCAAGCAGGGCGTGTGAGTTTACCAAAGGAATGGACAGAGTTTCCATCTCACCTGGAGAGCTTCAAACTTGGATGGAGGTCTTCTTCTGGAAGATAACCTTTAAACACCAAGGTGGTCCTGGGTAAACACCCCTCAATTTAAGAAGAAAGATGAAGAATATGAATGATCCTTTTGATTTCTTAGAACAATAGTAAAAACAAGAGATTGAACTGGTTATTGTAATAAAGTTACACTGTGGATGGAATCTCTGTCTCTGGCACCATCAATCTTGGCCATCCCAAGTGACCCAGGGGGTATGGTCCCCAAGCTCTCGCTCCGCATCAGCAGCAGGATCCGGGCACAACTGCCCAGGCAGATCCCAGGTGGGATTCCTGTTCTGGGCTGCTGGGTCTCAGAGGCCAGCTTCATTTCCCATGCAGGGCTGGGAAGCTGTGGGGCTGTACTTCCAGAACCTCCATGAGGGGGCATCCGGAGCTGTTTGGAGCACATCTGTTGCTATGCCCTCTCCTGGATGGGCTATACGAGTGTCTTCCGGGGGCACTCATCTGTCAGGGATCCTCACAGCACAAGCACGGCCAAGTGTGTCTCTTTGATGCCGCTTGCTCCTGTCTGCCCCGAAGGCCCAAAAGTAGCCAACCTGGTCCTTCAGGTTCCCACCGATGGGGTCCCAGTCACCTTACAGAGCTGCAAGGAGGAAGCTGAGGGGCCTCCTAGCCTTGGAGTCAGCACTGAAGGGCACTGGGCCAAAGAAACAAGGCCCCTTGGGAGTCAGAGGACTCCTGAGGAGGAGCAGGTTCTGCAGAGCTTTCTGTTCTGCTCTGGTCTCCCTGTGCACCCAGCTGCCCTGCCCCAGCCATGCACTGCGCTCGCACGCTTTGCTCACCGACCAGCAGAAATGGGGAGCTGCGAAGCTGCAGGGCAGCAGAGGAGGACCGGAAGCCATGAAACCCACAGCAGTCGGTTGCTGTCACATCCCTAGACATACATGAACACCCCTCTGATAGCCACAGTGGTCCAGTCCAGGAACAGAGCCACACCATGGGTAAATTAGAATGTGGGGGCTCCTTCATGACAGCCCATTGAACTGGCTGGCGTGATTGGGCCTGCTTGGCAAAAATGCAGATCTCCCTGAGAGCACCACTGGGGAATTACGGAGTCATTTTGGTATCCTCCTTTCTGTGTTCCTTCCAGAAATCTGCAGTGCTGTGACACCCCCGGGAGTGGGCGGCATCGGCAGCATCTGTTTTGTTTATTGGACCTGACCCATCTCCAGAATCTGTCTTCTCCCCAGCTAATGGTACAAGAAAAGAGGCAGCCAGTCCTCTGCTCAGGATGGGCCACGGACGAAGGCCAAGGCCAAGGCCGATCGCTAATTCCCAGCCTTACAGCTGGTCTGCGCCCATTTTCAAAGCCAGTTCTCTCACGCCCAGGAGTGCCTTTGCCAGTCAGTATAGAGAATATACCTGGCACAACAGTGTCTGTAGCTCAGCATTCGCCAGAAGTAGATCTCCAGATGTTTTACACTTCATCTTGCTGCATTCCTGACCTGCAGGGGATGCTGGGAACTGAAGCCCAAAACATCAGAAAGATCTCCCTTCTGCCCTCTCCTGGTGTAGCCACAGGAGAGACTTATAATTCCAGTCTCCAAAGCCGCTTTTGCAATGGCTTAGTCTGGCCCAGGCAATTAAGACCCGTCAGCGTAGCGTAAGGGCTTTCTTCTGGTGGAAACGAACGCTAGACGTGCTAAAATGGTTACGTTGGGAACAAACATTTCTTCTGTGTGGCAATGCTGGGAAAAGAAATTCCTCGGAAATCATGGTTGTGAGCGTGCATTCTATTTAGAGTATGAGTGTAAACACATACAAGCCCTTAGTGTATACCATTAAGTCCCCCGAAGAAAGGTCTGATGCCAGAAAACACCCCTTCCAAATTCACAGGATCTGGGTTTATTTCCAGACACAAAGTTGCTTGTGGGTGTACAGCTTTTGCTCTTTCCCCCCCTTCTTTGTTTCACGGATTGCTGGGGATCCTTCATTCTGTCACCTGCCCATTAACAGAACCCGATTTTGTTCACCAGAATTTCAGCCTGCTGGTGTTGATTCACATAATGCAAATTAGCACATGTCGCACCTCCTTCCCAAAAATGAAAAACAGTTTGTGACTCAGAAAAAGCCAGTCTGTTGTAGAAGCTGCAGGGCGAATTCACGGAAGTTCAAATTATTTTGACGCTGGGGAGTATTTCTCTGACATTCTTAATTTGAAGCTATCCGTATGCTGAAGGTGTACCCTGCCCAGAGCGCATTGGCCACAGGTGGTATAGAAATGAAATTAATAATAGTAAAAAGCACCTCGTCTCAGAATTCCTGACCCCAAAATACATGCCTGGCACCACCTCCCAGTTCCTACCATCCCTGACCATTCTGGCTGGAGCGGGTGATACTGGTGGATGGAGCCCAATATCACCTTGTCTTTCTCTTGCTCACCACCCCAAAATCTCCGTTTCTGAAATAGGGAGCAGGACTTAAATCTTGCAAGTCAATATATACAATCTTGACAGCCCAAGGATCTCTCTGCCCTGGGATTGTTCCCCGTTTGCAAGTGTTTTAAAGGCAGCCATGAAAGGCAAAACAGAGAAACGGGCTTGGTAGCAGAAGCAGGGCAAGCGGGAGAGGGAAAAACGGGTAGGAGTTGTCTGCCCAAGCGCCCATAGAATGGATTCGCCCTTGGATGGATTTGTGAAAGGGCCACTGTCCAAATAGCCTCCCGTTTTAGCATGGCCAGCAAGCCAGTTGTGTTGTGTTTGTTTAAGCAAACCTGCGCACTCACAAGGGAAGCACCTTTGATTGTGGGTCACTGGGATGCATGCAGACTTCTGATCTGGTGGGAAGAGTGTATAATTTTGACACTCGCTTAGGACTTTCCTTTCTCCTGGTGCTCAGCAGCATCTTATGGAGCTTTTAATCTCTGTTGCTTTTACTGGGTACTGGAATTCAATTGCCAATTGTCTTTAAATTGTTTTGGCTTTTTTCCTTCTGTTCGGTAAGAGGTCTTCTCATGCTCTGGTGTGAGCTTTGATTTTTATGAACCAAAAATTGGAACTTTGGCTTATCGGGCAGTTTAGCAATGAAACGAATGAAAAAGGCTGAGCTACCCAAGTTCTTCTTATCTTGTTTCAGTCGTGCTGAATGCTGCAATTGCTGTTTTGCATGGAACAGAACCTGTACACTCTGTTGTCGTCGTTGTTGCATGGAATAGAGCCTCCATGTTCAGGGACAGTCTAAACAGCACCTGCTCAAGAGAAGCCATGAAACACCGCCTTGGCTGTCCCACATGCCTGACCGGTGGGTATGTTGGCTGGTCACAACCGGGAGCCAGATGGGGAGCCAGACTGGGTACGGGCAAGCCTTGCCCTTTTCCTAGATTCTCTTCCCAAACACATCCTCCTTGAAGTGCCCACTGGGTTTCTTGCTCCTGCTATAACCAAGCCAAATAGATCCATGCAGGGTATTTAATCTCCCCACTGGTTTTGTCCCTGATGTTTTCTTCTTCCTCTTCCTAAAGATGCATTTTTATTTTTTATTATTATTAATTATTAATCATTTTATTATTATTTATTTATTTTATTATTATTTTGCTCCCTCTCCTTCCTTCCTCTTTGACCCGGGTTCGGCACACAGACACACAGGGGAAAGCCCCCCGCCCCGCCCCGCCCCACCGCCAGTGCCTGTACAGCGCCTGACGCCATCGCAGCTCTCACGCTAAGTTGGTAGGAGCTGTCCGTGCTCCCAGCACCAGCCAAGGCAGCCCAGCCTAAAGGCTGCAGCCGATGATGCTCTGACATGGCACAACCGCTCTCCTCTGTAGACGCGCGTTTTGCTTCTCTCTCCTTGAGGAAGTTGTGCTGACGTTGCTGCTTCTGTCTGGATCCTTTCTCTTTTTTTTAATTTTGAGGGAGTATAAATTAGAAAAAAAAAGAGGGCGGGGAGTGGGTGAGCGAGAGGCGGAAGGAGGGAGTGGGGGAGAGAGAGAGAGAGAGGAGCTTTTCCACTAGCTGGAGAAAAGAGCCCTTCTGTGGAATATCTTATCATAGCAACTCATCCATTTCAGAGACTTCTCTCCTCCACAGTGGGCACCCCCAAAAATGAGGGGCCCCCATTTCTGCCTTTTCTCGCTCTTCTGCCTGATCTCCTCCCAAAAGATTCCCAGGCTGAAGCTGATCCCGAAAGGTGAGTTAGTTTTGTGTGGGGAATGGGGTTGAGGCTCTCAGAGCCCTCTTGGATGTCGGGGTTTGGGTCAGGGCTAAGCGGATTTTGTTTTGAAAATGCCATGTTTTTAAAAGGTCTATTTCCTTCATCCTTCTAACCACCCGCAAATCCCTCCCACCCTCCAAAGGAGAGCAATACTGGTATGTTTTTTTAAAAATGTATTTAACAGGTGATGGATTGAAGAAATAGGGCATGCGAATAAGCAATTCTGGCTTATACAGATGCCTGCTTCAAACCTTGTTTTTCTGATGAGAAATTCTTTGCAAATTTGCAAAGGAATTGGGGATATTCGAACATCAGAAAGGAAAATGAGCTATGAGGAATGTGGGGGGACTCGAGGGACTGACCGTCCCTCTATTCTGACAAGTGGGTGCCCACCCCTTCAATTGTGCGGAGCCCTTTAGAGAGGATGACGATGCAATGGAGGTTGTCACGGTAACGAGCTTAGATGCCCACTCACAAGAGACCAGGGACTGGCTAAGCTGGGCTTCGGGGTGCAACTTCGCAACTTGCTGGGTGCAGAATGCTGCGCTGCATGTGTGAATGGGGCAGGTCTCACAGGTCGAAGGCTGCAGGCAGAACATTGATGGACAGACACACACACACACACACACACACACACACACACACACACACCCAGGCAGTATGCTTGCGTGGAATCTTTCTGGGAAAAACATGGGGAAGTTAGGACGAAAAGGTCCAGCACACAGACTCGGGACTTCCCCGCCTTATTCAGCAGGATCGGGGTCCCATCTTTGCTGCATTTCCAGGAGATTTGGAAGGGATGCCCTGAGGAAGAAGAGGGTGAGCAGAGATGGCAGCTAAATCTGGATCCAGCCTGTGGGAACGATTGATTTGGCTTGCTTGCTGGTAGAGCTGCTTTTCCAAGAACAGTCTATCTGAGCAATGGGAGTGCTGATTTTCCAAGGCGGCACTTCCAACTGGAGATGAATGCCACATGGGTAGCAAAGCTTATATTAGTTTTGAGCGTTTAAATCTTACCAGCCTCAGCGCTTTGCCACAGAAGCACAAGGGTGCGTTTTTAGAAAGAAATTTATCTTAGGATCTTGGAGTAGGGGAAGTCAGGGGAATCTTGCAGTTGTAGGGGAGGGCAACCAGAGTTTTTCCTGTTCTAAAAATGCAGGTCCCCCCCCCCTTTTTTTTTTTTAAGAAAATTGAAATATCACACATCCAAAAACCTGTTTTTCAAGTGATTCTCAGGCGGGGACAGATGTAATTCCAGCTGGAGCGATGCCTCTCCCGATCTCCGCTTCTGCCTCACTTCTCTCTCTCCCTCATCTGCACACGCATCACTACCCAATTTGGCGGGGGGGGGGGGGAGTCCCAGCAGCTCCCCGCCTGGCTTGCTTCATGCTTTGCAGTCCTGATTAATACCAAAAGCAAGCGGGGCTTGTGCTCGGTCCTCAGAAATCTTGTCAGGAGAACATTTTTGCAGGCCAGGCCAGGGGCCCCTGTTTTTGTCGGGGTCCACATCCATTGCAGGGGGCTCCATGGGGGGCTATTTGGAGGGGGTTCAGCACCACAGAGAGGCCCCACAAAGCTCAAGATGAGTCCCCCCGCTGCATTTGGGCTGGCTGCCAAGAGCTTCCCAGAGAAGCCGAATCGAGCCTTGTCCAACTGGTCCTCCAGCTGTTGATGCTGCCTGCAGGCAACTCTCTCTCCAGGGAGCCAGGTGAGCATCGCCACCTGGAGATGCTGGGGAGAGGCTTGAAGCGGGGGCCCTCTGATCCTTCCCTGAGGAGGCCGAGGGCCCTTCCTCCAAGCCCGAGCTAGCGGCAGAGAAGAATGCTGCATCACTGCTTTGGCTGGCGCAGGTCGAACCCCCACTGCCGATGGCAGGGCCCCGCAAAGCCCTCCCAAGCCAGCATCCGTCCGCCAGGCAGGCCGGACGATGAGTCACCTCTGTGGTCTGTCCAGCCCCCACTGGGCAGGGATGGCCCTCCAGATTCCGGCAAGAGCTTTTGCAGCCCTCCGGCTTCCTGCAAAGCAGGTCTCTGCCACTCAGCTCTGCTTCACCAGCTCCTGCTGGCTCTCTGGAGAGGGAGGGGATGGGGAAGACGACTCCACGAGGGTGGCAACTGGCCTCCCAGCCACGTTTATGGGAATTCGTGCAGGGGGCTGCAGCGCGGCCTTCGGGGGCTGCCAGCCCTGCTCCTCGGCAATCTCCGAGTCAAGGGACCAGGTGGCTGGTGATGGAAAAGCCCCTCTCTGCAGGACCTTGGAGGGCTGCTGGTGGTCAGAACAGATCGGTCTGTGCTAAACAAGGGGTGTCCACCCCCATTCAGCCCCCAACATTTTTTTCGAGACGTCCAGCAAGACTGCAGGCAAAAGCGGAGGCAGCAAAATGCCAACTTAGTTTGCCCACAACCTCCTCCTGCTGCAGAAATCCTGCACAAAAGCCAGGAAGCCACGAAATGTTTGGTGATTGTGGGAAAGGGGGTGAGGACCCCTGGGGACCCCTGGCAGGAGGGATTTGGTCCCTGGGCCAAAGGGCGTGACCTGGAATCAAGTGTGTTCCATTGATCCTAAGTCAAGATCCAGGCAGCCTTGGCTGGGCGGAAACCAAACCAAATGGACTGCTGCACCAGGTCTCCAAGGAAGGCGCTACTTCACAAAACTCGTTTGGGTGTTTTTGATTCATGGCTGAGCCACCTGGTCAGGCTGCCCACGCACCCTCAGACTAGCTCAGGATGTTCCTCTCTCCCATCCTTTTGCAGCTTTTCCCAGGACAGCTGCTGAACTGGGAATGTGACCAGCCCCAAATCCCCCACATCCCAGGGTGTGTTCTTGACCTCAAGAGTAGGGCCACAGGTTAAATTAGAGCTGGAGGAAGCAGGATGTAAAAAGAACCCCTCTGGATTGGCCCAGGGGAAGCAGGAAGCCCGCCACCCGTGGGCTCTCTCGACGCGAGCTGGCTGCTGGCCCTCTTTCCCATCCTAGAGCCCATTTGCTGGCCTGAGAGCAAGCCAGCACCTGCCCCTCCTTTGCACCCCACCGTTGTCTGAGTCACAGCAAGAGGGAGGCGGATGTGCCGGTTGCCGTGGGGAAAAGGAGCGGCGGCTCTGGGGCTCTTGCCTGCGGGTCCTTGCTGGGCTGTGGGCACCCAAGTGTGGACCCTCGGCACCCATGAACCCACCTGGGTCAGGTATGCCCCAGCACCCAACGCCCAGAGGTGCGCTGTCTTCAGACAAGCCCAACAGGCAGAGCAAAGTGGTCCAGCCGTGCCTGATGGCCACCAGATGCCCCTGGGAATTCCTCAGGCAGAGCTGTGCTGCTGCTGAGCAGGTCATATTTAGAGGTAGACTGCCCCTGAAAGTGGAGGTGCCATTTAGCCATTGTGAGGAACCGCCATCCAAAACCAAAGCCACACTTTCCGACTCCATTATTTTAGCCAAAATCTGCCTCTTCTCCCCCAACCCACCAACCCCCATTGCCCACCCGAGTTCTACTAAGCATGGAAAGAAAGGAGTTGCATAAAAGGCTGCATTTAGCCCCTTTTCCTTTGAATCCTTCTTCCCTCCCTCTCCATTTTTCCTGCCGTGTTGCATTTCTCTTTCTTCAGTCTGCAAGCCTGTAGAGGGCAGGGGCTGCCTTGTTTATTCCTTCATTGCAAGCTGGTTTGGATTTTTTTATTTCTTTTTTCTATTCTTTGGGCTGAGGAGGCAGATGGAAAAACACAACCACTTTAAATAAGCCAGTAATTTGAGCAGGGTGTCTGCGGACAAGTACATAATGTTTCCTCTCGGCACTGGCAGGGGATAGGCTGTGTTGTCCCCCCAGAGTCTCAAGGATTAAGAGAACCCGAGCAGCCTCAGACTCGGGCATCTGCGTTTTGCAAGCCAATTTTCCATCCATCCCCTAGCCTGAAGTTGCAGGGACTGGCCCAAAGCCAGCTTGCTCCCGTCTCCACGAAAAGCAGGCGAGCTGCTGCTGAGAGACAAGGAGGTTTTATGGACTAGGTCAGACAAGCCTGCAATGCAGATAAAACAAAGATCTAAGCGCTGCGAAGGGAGGGGAGCACACAACGCCCAGGATTCGTGTGTCTGGTGTGTGTTTTCCACCCACAGGGGTTCTCCTTCCCACACCTGAAGCACCTGCCGCTTTTCTCACGGGCTTCCTAGGAAATGCATGAGGATGGGGGAGAACAGGATGCCGCTTCCCTGCAGCGGCGGCGAGAGAGGGCCACGCTTCCTGAGCGGGGTGGTGTTGTGAGGGCAGGAGCTCCCAGCTCCATGGAGCTCTGACTGTCAGGGAGGCCCTCTGCCCTCCCACCCCTGCTGAAAGACGGGCCATGGGTCCTGAGAATCTCAGGAGCTGACACCCCTGGATTAGTGGGCTTTGGGACCACTTGGCTGCACCTCCTGCTCCCCCCTGGCCCCTCAATCTTCCTGCCTGAGCCGTTTCTTAAATCAAATTTCCTCCTGTCCCTTATCTGTACATCCATAAAAGCATCCTTAGAAAACAAGGTCCTTTCAAAAGGTAGAGAGTGAGACCCTCGAGCACATGTAAAGCAAGAAAAGCAGGCTTGTGTGGGTTTGGGTTTTGGTTACTACTTGCTCCTGTGGCTCTTTCGGGCACCTCGCACCAATCCTGTTTGCAGCTTGTTGCTGCCTCGACTCGCATTGCGACTCAGGGCAAAGCACAGAACAAAGCAACCTTGTTGCTAGAGGTAGAGGGAGAATTCTGCTCCGTTCTCCTTTCAGTCTGTATTTGCGTGTCCCAAATTGGGATACTGGCCCACACAAAAATGCAGTTATCCTTCAGTGCTTGCATTTCTCAGCGATTTGCAGTGCAGTTCTCTGAAGAACACCTTTGAAGCTTATGCATTTTCATGAGGACTGAAAAATGGAAGAAAGGAAAGAAAGAAGAAAGCAAAATGTGGCGAACCAGTAAAGAAATGCAGCAGCATGAACAGAAGATGGGGAAAATGAGAACCAGAGGGAAACTGAACATCATGGTGCCCAACCCAGCAGGGGGCGTGTGACACAGAGAGCTACACAAGGAGTGTGCAGGCTTCCGGGTTCCACAGGATTCTTTTACAGGCTAGCTGGTGGTACAAAAAGCAGGCGCTGGGCACAGAAAGAGAAGAGGTCCAAAATTAGGACAAGAAGCAAAGAGTCGAGGGCAGGGCTTGGTGAGAGACAAGCCAGGCATTGAGGGAGGGACATTCCCCATTGTACAGCAAATTATTGGGGGAGGCCTTGTCTGGAAATGGGCGATGCAATGCAGCTGCACCTGGAGGTGGCAAAAGCGGCTAGAGCTGGCTTCTTGGTGATGCGGCTGCCTTCGGCACTGGCCTATCCTGGCGGGTGGGGCCTGTAGCCATGGGGGCGGCCACAGGGAGCACCTGCCCTTCCAGGCTGACCACGCTGCTGGTGGAGGGACCACAGAGAGGAGCCCCTCCTGGACTTCCTTAACAGGAGCCCCAGACTCACGGGGACAATGGGTCCTGCAAAGAAGGCTTCCCGGGATCTCCCCCCAGCCACATTGTTCATTTGGAGCCCATCCTAGGAGCAAATCCTTTCACACACTCACCCCATGCCCTTAGAAACAGAGAAACAGAGCGAGTCAGAAGGGGTCTCCCGGGCCATCTAGTCTGACCCCCGGCTCCAGCCGGCTCACTTGTCAGGCTGGAGGGCCTATTAGACACTTCTCTACTTTCAGATGTGCCAAGCTTAACTTTTGATGAGAGGGAGAGCTTGACGGCCATGTTCCACGACACCAGCTCGGACCAGGTGCTCATCGGAGGCCGAGGCGTTCTGTGGGTCCTCACCTTTCTGGATTCCAAGATCACGCCAAACCAGGTAAGAAGCGGTGCCCACAGGAGAGGCGAGGAGGTGGGAAGCCTGAAGGCAGGGAAAGGAAAAGCTGCTTCGAGTGGCAGATGGTCTGGGGCCAGGAACACCGGTGAAGGGGTGCAGGGCAGAGGGTACAGACCTGCTAGGCTCACCTGCAGTTCTCAGGTGTGGTAGAGCAGGGCGCATGGAAAGAAGATCCGTAGGTGTTTAGGACTGCAACTCCAAATAAGCCTTCCCATTGGGAGCTAGAGACCAAAGCACCTGAAGATCTTCCAGGTACCCATCCCTGCAGAGGATGCTCTGCCACCAGTACGAAAGTAAGTCTTGGTGGCTTATCTGCTCATGGAGTAGACATCTGGGGAGACACCAAGGCCGGATCGGGGCCTCAGATGGGCTGGATTTGGACCATGGGCCTGCATTAGATTCGCCCAAGTTCCCCCAATTCTGCCCTTTCTCCAGTTCCAAATGCAAGATACTTTTGAAGCCAAAAGCTCGTGTCCCTCGTTGCCATGGAAAGATGGCGGGCATGGCTGCTTTCCTCAAAATAGCCCTCTGCTTCCAACAGGTGCCCATGAAAGCTGAGGAGAAGGCAGAGAAGGACTGCCAAAAGAAGCCTGGAGCAGTGCAGGTGAGGAAGCCACAGGGTTCTGCGGCGACTTGGCTCAGAGATTCGCAAATAGGAGAGTGCAGTGCGTCACCCGGGCCCAGGACTGGCGCCCTCAGAAGCGGAGGCCGTCCAGTGGCAGTGACCCTGGGGAGGCCCCAGAACCATGTCCTTGTCCCTTGGAAGCTGGTTCTGCTGCCTCAGGCCCCACATCTTGTCCACGCAACCCCCAGAAGCTGCCACTCTATCCAGGCCCGGAGGGATGGAGTTCAGATCCCTTTAACAAATACGAAGAGCCTGGAAAGCTGTCCCCAACGGGCTGCCAGGCTTCATTCTCTAGGAGAAGCCAACACCTGCAGAAAAAGCCTGCTGGCCCTTTAAGAGACAGGTGTGGCACCTGGAGGGGTGGAGTTTCCTGAGATACCCTCCTGGCTGGGCTATAAAAGCCAGCCAGTTGCTCCCGGGGCTTTTCTCCTCCTAAAGTGCCTTTCTCGAGTGCTCGGTTGCTGACCAAGGTCCTGAAACCAAACCGACCTTCCCGACCGCCTGAGCCATGCTCCGGAACAGATGGTGGATCCTGGATGTTGGTGGGGTTTTGCTCCAGTGAAACTTTGGGCTGCCCTGATCTCCCTGGGGTACAGGAGCCTTCTCCAAGCTGGGTTGGGCTACAATTACCAACAACCCCCAAACTCTGATGTACTCAGGCAGAAGATCGCAGCTTGTGGCAGGGATTCTGGAGAACCGAGAGGGCTGCGCTGTGGTTTTCCACCCCAACCCTAGTTTTTATCCTTCCGGTAGGCTGTTCTGTTTATGAGTCATTACCAGTGAGGTTCACCTGCAAAAAATGAAGTGAAATTAACTCTCTGCTGCCTCTCAATCTCTCCAGTTTCATTTCCTCACAAGTGAAATTTGCAATTTTATGGAGGAGGCAGGGGACTTAGCAAAGGAAGCTGCTCTAATCCATATCTCTGTGTGTTTTTTCTCTGACTCTCACAGGAGGACTGTGATAATTTCATCCGTGTGATTCAGAGACTGGACGACAGAATCATTGTCTGTGGAACCAATGCGGGTTCTCCCAAGTGCTGGTTTTTGGTGAGTGAAAGGGTGGTGGACATACACAGATCCTGAAAAATAGCAGCTGTAGACCCTTGATGATACTGTGTTTATTGGGAATATGGATGGTGGGTTATACTAGCTACCTCGCACAGGTTGGAAATAGCCTTTTTTGACCCAGCAAAGCCTTCAAGAAAACAGAGGCACGTGCAAACATGTCCACCTGTGTCAGAGAGAAACCATGCCTGCTGGAAGTCATAACATGCTCCCATAGCTCTCTGACAGAGGGGTCTCCATCTCCTGGCGGAGATGTTGCCCCACAGCACAGAGGAGGCATAATGGTTCCCCCCGCCTAATAACTCCCCAACTTCCCACCATATGAGCTGCCCCGGTTAGGGAACTGTGCCATCTAGTGACTGAAGTTGTTACTGCAGGCTTCAGCCGTACGGATGCACTGTCGTTGATCCCAATTCATGCACTGGGATCCCAGTGAAATTTCAGGTGTCTGCATTTTAGGTACCCGAAGCTTTGGTGCTCAGAGACACACCCAAACACTCGCTTTTGCTATTATAGATATTACATGATTAGCCTGTCCAACTCCAGGCCTTCCAGCTGCCATCAAGTAAATAGTGGTTTGAGAGTGTTTGGCAGTGCTGCTTAGTGGTCAGGGAACAGCCTCTGGGACCATTTTTCCCACACTCATATTTCTGTCCCCACCCCTGCTCTGTGTGTGTTCTGAAAGTTGCACACTTCAGGTTAATGAAGAACATTTGCATGAGCTTAATTAATACAATGTGCTCAGTTTAATTATGTGAGTTTTAAATAATTTGTTTGCTGAGTCAAATTTGCAGAAAGGTCCCTCTGATTATAATCAATTTAAATGCAGAAATTATGTTTGCATGCTTTTAGTTCTGATTTTACAGCTCAGGTCTAAGTATATTTGCTTGAGAGTTAATTCCATGGTTTTCAATGGAATTTACTCCCAACGAAGTGAGCTACTGTCCTGATGAAGATGCCCATGCTATTTGCATATACCTGTCCCACCAGAAAAGCACAAACTACTCACATTAGGTAACCACAAGAAGAAAAACAGGATGCAGAAGGAACAAGATGGTTATGAGTGGAGCCGGCTGGTGCCAGAGGTCAGACTAGATGGCCTGGGAGACCCCTTCTGACTCACTCTATTTCTCTGTTTCTATGTTAACCTTACAGGAAAAGTTAGCTGAGAGACTGTTGCAGGATAAGGAATTTGCCAGGGAAACTATAATCATCTGGTGTCTTGTTTACGCTACAGTTTAAAAGGGAGGGCCTGAAAATAGTTTGGGACCCTCAGCCTGGAATTATCCACTGCAGGTCAGATAAAATTTTAGAGAGGTTTTTTTAGAGAGGTGATGAAATTCAACCAGCCATCTCTTAACATGCCTTCTGCTGTTTATTAAGTCACAGGAGAAGTATTTCAACATTTACGAAAGGAGAAAACACCCTGAATCAGGCAGAAATCCTCCAATCAGCAGTCCAGAAAAGGGTCCATGGTCATTTTGGAGACCCAGTGGCCAGATTTAAATCTCAGGAATGTGTGACTGGGTGCTGGGGTGAACAGTCCCTCTCTCTGCTATTCTCTTTCTTTAGAAGCAGCAATGTGGCAAAGGGCCCAGAGGTGGGAGAAGGCGGCCATTTAAAAGTTGTCTGAATCTTATCCAGTGTCTTTTTGCCTTCCTTTCAGGTCAACCACACAAATTTGCAAGAGGACAGGCTGGGCCGGAAGTTCACCCTTCAGGCAGGAAGCTTCATCGCACCCTCTCCATCCCAAAACACGGTGGCCATTGCAGTAGGTAAGGTGTTGGAGAAAATTCAGAATCCTTCTGAGCTGAATTTCTCTCCAAAGTTCAGGGGTCCCAAGTCCCTGAGTGGAATCGATGCTTTCAGAAGTGCCCCTGGTAGCAAGTTCAGGTGACAAAGGACTGCAGGACAGAGGCCAGGTGGGAGCTTCCGAATGTCAAAAGGGACACATCAGATGCTGGAAGTGCAGAAGAGGAAAAATTAGTCTTAGTACCAGGACATTCCAGGTCCCCGTTCTCTCCCCCCCCCCCCCCCCCCGCATTCAGTCTCCCAAAAAGCAAACCAGAGAAGACTGGGCAAGTGTGTTTGCCAGAAAATGTTGAGTATCCATAGGAAAATTGGGAAGAATGCCTTACATGGAGGAATGGACACAAGAGCCTTTGGTATGATTGGCCATGGCATTTCTGACATTCTTAAGGCAGCAGAAACGGATTGCAGAAACATGGGTAATCAGAGTAATGCATCTTGTTAGATTGCACTGATTGCAAATCCACTTCGTGCAGCAAATGCACTTTGTACATGCAGCCCACCTTCTGCATATGGAAGGACCCAGGTTCAATCTCAGCATTTCTAGGGAAGAAGACACCTGTGCAAAGTCCTAAAGAACTTCTGATAGCAGAGACCATACTGGCTGAGACTTGGTACAAAACAGCATATTAAAGTACCCAGTTCAAGTAAGGCAGTATTTACTCTCCATCAACATTTCTCCTCTTTGCTCAGTGCTGGTCCCCCTTAGAATCCTGGCTTGTGTATGGGTGTGTGGCTGTAAAATTAAAATTCTAGTCCTCATGATCGCAGAGATAAATTTGCCTGTTAAATGAAGAGCACGGAGGGTGGGGAAGAAAGCAAAACCAGCAACAGCAATGATGTAGATTCAGGGCCTGAATAGGCAGTTGCATGTTTCAGCTCTGGTAGTTTGGAAGTTGCAAAATAGGACTCAAGGTGTTCTGTTTTTTCACCTCCCCCACCCTTTCTGTCCACGTTTCAGAAGGCAACCTGTATACTGCATTGTCTGGGAACAAAAGTGTCATCCAGAGGAGCTTTGGAACCAAAAAGGGTGTTAAGACAGAAGAGAGCTGGCTGGGCAGTAAGAACGTTTTGATGTTTTGGTTTAGTTGGCTTGTTTCTGACTTCATAAACTTGGAAAGCCCACCTTGTCATTTAAATAAAGTTAGCTCCTAGTCCTTGTTCTTAACATACTAATAGCAACTACAAATGTGGTGGTAGTTCTTTTAAACTATCACTGTTATTAAACAACCACAACTTCAGCTGTGCGTCTTGCAGCAACAGAAACAGGAATTATTAGAAAAGGGAAATCAATGCCCTTATGTGTGTTCCGTTTGAGCATCTATGGTAAACAACAGCCTGTACAGTCCTAGAAGCAACTCCCAGTGGGAAAAGGACACTGTAAAGCTGAAAATGTCACAAATGGAAGATATGGCCTCAAAACAGAATCCCAAAATCCGGTAATGAGGCAAATGATAAGGTGGACCGCAAACAATGTCTCACTCCCAACCCATAAGGCTTCGCGGAAGCATCTGTTCGGCCACTGCGGAAAGCAGAGTGGAACCCTTGATGTGGTCCATGCCGAAAGCAGGAATATTGATCCACAGGTCCATGCAGCCTCTCTGGGTCTCCCCACCTGGCCACACCCCTTCTTACGGCCACCTCTCCGTCCCCTCCCCTTGCCAAACCTTCGTGGCCTTGGAATGCCTCCTCGGCTACTAGCAGAGGCTGTTCTGTAAGCACAGACATGGCCGCAGAGCCGGCCCGGCCCTCTCGCCTGTGGCTCCACCCATCACCAGAATGGGCCCCAAGAGCTTCATTGAAATGCGGGTGGCCCCAGGGCTGAGAGTGGTCCCACACCCCTGCTGTGGAGGCTTAGACCCCATTCTGGAACAACAAGCCTACCAAGCTAAGACGGCGACACCAAACCTCCATGCGCTGGGCCAGTCTGCCCCTCAGCAAGGGCACCTCTTGGGCTCTGAGCAGAACTGAACCCCTGATGAGGTTGCCTCGAGCCACCGGAGACCTGCAGCGGACTCTTCTTGTCCCCAGATGCGGAGTTTGTCGGTGCTGCCTTCCTGCCAGAGAAGGACTCGGGCAACGATGAGATCTTCTTCTTCTACAATGAAGTCAACCAGTCAGCGGGGCTGGATGAGGAGCCCTACAAAGCTCAGCTGGGGCGTGTCTGCAAGGTACGGGGAGAGAGAGGTGCTTGGCACCTGGGCAGGTGTATTATGCGGGACACGTGGCTGGGCAGTTGCCCCGTCAAAAGGAGTTTGAACACTGGCTGAACGTGAGCCACTGCGATGGTTCAGCTTTGGCTGCATTCATGGCACCACTATCCTAAATCATGGGAAACATAGAAACAGAGCGAGTCAGAAGGGGTCTCCCGGGCCATCTAGTCTGACCCCTGGCTCCAGCCGGCTCCACTCATGACACACCCACCATGTTCCACTTTATTTCTCCCCGCATGGGCTTTGTCTGGAATACCATATCCAGTTCTTGGAGCTACTGATTGAAAAAGATGTGGACAAACTTACCTGGGTTTGGAAGAGGGAAAGGAAAGAGACTTCTATGCCATAGAAGTCCTGTGAGGAAAGACGGAAGGAAGTGGGTAGGTTTAACCTGCAGTAGGGAAGACCAAAGGGGGTGAAACGCCCCCCCCCCCCCAGCCCCAAAGAGTTATTTTTTTATTTTATTTTTTTATTAAAACATTTTTATGCCGCCCCATTCACCGAAGCCTCGGGGTGGCTTACAACAATAAGTTAAAATAATTATAAATCAAAAATATAAACATTAAATTAAAAATACAAAATACAGTATAAAATAAGCCGCCCTGGCCAGATAAAATCCATTAATATTAACAGTTAAAATGCCACTTATCTGGGGGAATTGGGCTAGAAGTCCTCTGCTGTTCTTCAGGTAGGGTGTTGTAATGCTGATGGACTTGTGTTAGAACGGGGAAAATTCAGTTGAAGATTAGGAGAACCTCCTGGACAGAAGGAGGCCTGATGCCACCTCAGTCTCCAGGACCACCTCGGTGGATCTTGCCTTGAGCGTAGGCTCCTGAAAACAAGACAGGTGAATCTTGGCAGCTCGACAGAGAGGGCTCCCGTTCAGTCTCTCATTCAGGATCTCATCCTAGTCCCCCTGGGAGGTCACCAACTCATAACTTCTTGGCCTGGGAGGACACTCAAAGTAAGAGATCAGGTGGGTGGGTGTTTCCTCTAGAGAGGCCAGATGCTCACTCCTTGTTCCCCCGGAACTGGTCTCCAGTTCCATGCCCAGCTTCTCCCATTAAAAGAATCCTGAGCAATGGGAACGGCACCTCTGTGCCCCAGAGCTGGGAGAAGCACTGTCCGTCCAGGGCCTAAAGGGACTCAGGCAGGCCAATGGAGGCAGCCTCCCAGACCTGCACATGGCGCTCTGCCCTTCCAGGTGGACCAAGGCGCGAAGTCCTTCCTGGTGGACACCTGGAGCACCTTCCTCAAGGCACGGCTGGTGTGCGGACATCCCAACCAGCCAATGCGCTTCCACCACCTTCGGGACGCCTTTGTCCTCAGAAAAGAGGGCCAGAATGAAGCTGTGCTTTATGGAGTCTTCTCCAGCATGTGGTGAGTGGCGTCAGGGTGTGTGTGCTATTTTGTCACCGTTATTAATTTACTATTGTGTACAGACTGGTATACCTCTGCAGCTTTTGGAGCGGTGAATCCTAAATAGTTAAAACAGATAAAAGGATTAAAACAAAGCATTACAAATACCATCGTAAAACCTTATTAATATCAAAGCCATATTCATGTTTATGTTGATATTCGTTGCCTGACTTGTTTCTGCAGTCCCAGGACAGCGGACCCTTGGAATAACGGGGTGCTATTTCTGACAGAGGAGGGGAAAGGGACCCCCCTGCTGCAGCTGCTCTTTCTCCAGCGGATGAATGAGGCCAAGTTCCCTTCCTTGGGAGCAGGGGGCCCCTGGCCATTGCTTGGGGCCAGAGGGGGATGCCTTAGCTCAGCGGTAGGAGGGCTTGGCTGGGATGTTATAGCCGGACGCAAAGCTTGCACAGTTGCCCATGTAGCTTTTGTTCTGCTTTTCCGAAGGGGCTCGTCCGCCGTCTGTGCCTACTCTATGAACAGAATCAGCTCCATCTTCAAGACTTCAAAATTCAAGGGGGTCACGAGTGCCATTCCTGTGCCCAGACCAGGCACGGTAAGCATCCGTGCTGAGACTCTCCATGAGGAATCCCTCAAGGCCTCTTCTGGGAACCTGTCTTCCTTCTGCATGTTCCGTCGGAGGGCAGGGCGGACCTGGCAGATTCACTGGGCTGACACCTTTTCAGTGCAGGGGCACTGTTTGTTTTGTGACTAATCATTTCAAAGCATTTTAATCCCACTCTTTGACCAAAAAAAAAAAGCTCCCAAGCTGGACTTACAAACAGAGCCAGGTGGTGTAGTGGTGTGTGTTGGACTGGGTGAAGCTCACTGGGTGACTTTGGGCCAGTCAGAGAATCTCAGCCTAGCCTACCTCACAAGGTTGTTGTGAGAATAAAATTGGAAAATAAGAGAAACTTGTAAGCTACCCTGGGGTCCTTGAAAGAGGAAGAAATGTGGGTCATAAATGTAGTAGTAGTTGTAATAATAATGATGAGAATCCCTGCCTACAGCCATACTATTTAAAAGACAGGACACAAAAGGAAAAGTGTATGGGGAGGGAGGAGGAAAAGAAGGCACTAGATGCGAAGTTCTGCATGTCATGGAGCTGGATTGAAATGGAAGGGCTGCTGTTTCTTCTCGTTGTCATGAACTTTTGCTGCTAAGAACCTAATGCCTGAAGCGGACAGTCTTGGTCATTTCCCCAAGGCGCTCTTTGGCTCCCTGGGGAAAGATACAGAATCTCTATCCTTCTTTGCTGTGGGTGAGAAAACAACAGGAAGAGGCAAAGGGAGAGAATTAAGCAGCATCTGTTGGATCAGGGCAGTCTGCAGAATTGCGATGGGTTGGAAAAGACAAGCAGAACCCACATGCTTCACCTAATGAGCCAAATGAGGTGCAGTGAAGGCGCAAAGCCAGATCTCCCTCACCCTAAGATGCCTCTCTTCTGCTACATTCCTCCAATAATCTGCTTTTCCCTTTTCAAGTCTTACAGAATGGCTGAATAATTCATTTCATGTATCTGTTATGCCGTCCGATAACTTAAAGATCCCTGGGTGGGCCACAAAAATTACTCTTGACTGATTTTAAAAGGGCATCTCCTTTTATTATGATCTTTGCATTATTTTGATTTGCCTTTTATTTGGACTGTTGCCTTGAGGGGGGGTGTTTGCCTTGGAAAGGAAGCCAAACACTGTTCAAATTAAACGGATAGGTTTCGGCACTGACCATGTTTGCTTGGAATGCTGAATTCTTGCCTGTCCATCTTTTGGGCCCTCGGTTTATCCCTGTCTGAATTTCTTCCCTCCATTTCAGTGTGTGCCGTTGGATTCCAATCCAGCCCTGCCCAAGACAACCATGACCTTCATTAAGGAGCACCCAGAAATAGACACGGTCATCTACCCGGACGAGGAACGGCCCCTGTATGTTCTCCAGAATAATGACACGTACACTCGAGTGCTGGTGGATAGTGTGCAGGATGCTGAAAATGTACTGCATGACGTCCTTTTTCTTGGAACAGGTGAGCTCAGCCTGGGTGGAAGAAATGATGGAAGTTGTCTCTCCAACCTCAACCCATTTTTTTAGACTCGCATAATAGTGAGGAACACGGATGACAGCAGCAAACCACAGAGATGCGGGTGTTTAGGTTTAATTCTGCAGCCATTCCCATTTGGGGAAAATGTTGTGTTAGGATAATTGGAAAAGACTCTCCTTAAAAAAAAAAAAAAATTGCTGTTAAGCAGCCTCTGGCTGTGCGGCTGATGGGAGCTGTAATCCAAAACCAGGTTACCTGCCCTTGCTAATTAATGACAAACCAGAAGAGCCCTGTTAGGTTAAAGCCAAGATTCAGCTAGGTGCTGAACCTCGTTGGAAGATTATATTTGAGGCCACATTCGGGTCAAAACAAAGGAAGGAGGGCCGAATTAAAACACCAAAATATAAAATGCAGGCATGTGTTAGCTTAAATCTTACAGTGCTGGTCGCTTAAGCCTTAGAGGTATTTCAGGGATTTTCAGAGTAGGGGACCGTGTGCAAAAACAGGGAAATCACCAAACAGTGTGGATGGCGGGGCAGGAGGATTGTGGGTCGCTATCCAGGAAGCCCTGGGATGGCAGAAGGGACCCACAGGCAAGCAGATCCGGCACAGGCCTGAGCGAGACCCACAGCGGCCTGGAGCCTGGCGTGTCCTCATTGCCAGCCATCCCGTCCCGAGTCGGAACCTGACCGTGTTTCTCTTATTTCGGCAGCCAAAGGAAAGATTCACAAAGTGCTCCGGAGCAAAGAGCAGACGGTGATCATTGCGGAGATAAGTCCCTTCCAGAAAGAAATGCCCGTTTCTTCCATGATCCTGGACCCCACCCTGGTAAAAGGGGGTCTCATTCCTTCGCACCTTCTGCGATCCACGGCGCGCCGTGGTGATGAGCGGGTTCTGCAGGTGCTGTTCAGCACCCTGGACAGCTCCTGCCACACCGGCCGTGGGAAGGGGGGTCTCCGGCTTTCCTGGACCCCGTTCCGGGTTGCCTCGTCTGCCATGGGCTCCTCCTTCTTCGCCCGCCAAGCAAAAGGGGTCCCCTTCACTGCAGGGCAGGAAGCAGGGCCTCATTTCCTTCCCACCCCCTCACACGTGGTGGGCATGTCATGAGCAGAGCCAGCTGGAGCCGGGGGTCAGACTAGATGGCCCGGAGACCCCTTTTGCCTCGCTCTGTTTCTGGATTTCTCTCTGCAGGGGCACCTGTACGTCAGCACCAAGTCCGAGGTGGTGCGCCTGCTGCTGACGGACTGCGACCAGTACAACGAAAACTGCTGGAAGTGCGTCCTGGCTCGGGACCCGTACTGCGGGTGGGACATGGACGCAAAGAGCTGCTCCGCCATCTCCCAGGAGGGAAACCGCACTGGCAGGTCTGTGGACGATGTGGGGGTGAGGTGGGGTGGGGTGGTGTAGTGTAGTGGTTAAAGAGCCTGGGACTGGGACTCAGGCGATCCGGGTTCGAGTCCCCGCTCGGCCATGGAGCCAACTGGGTGACTTTGGGCCAGTCACAGATGCTCAGCCCAACCTACTTCACAGGGTTGTTGTTGTGGGATAAGATGGAGGAGGAGAATGATGTCAGCTGCCTTGAGCCCTTTGTAGGAAAAAGGCAGGATATAAATCGAATAAATAAATAAATAAATAAATAAATAAAATGGGGTGGGGTGGGGTGGCAGAAGGTGTGCCCTGCCTAATCCACTGACATGGCGCGATTGTGTGTCCCACACACGTGTGACTTGTGGCAGTCGGCGGTGTCGCGGTCCCAGCTGCTGCCTTTCCTTTGCACATTGTCCGCGTGGAACTCAGGAAGGGCTGCTCCAAGCAGAGTGAAGAGGCCAAGGGCCATTCTGCTACTAATTGGCTATTCATTCCCAGCAGTATGGTCTAGTGGTTAGAGTGCTGGGCTGGGACTCGGGAGATCCTTAGATGAAATGCAGCCTACAAATATAAATGGCAGCTAAAGGGATCGACAAACTGCCCTCTTCCTATAAAAGATTCCAGGATGGCATGCAAATTGCAAGCAAGCAAGCCATTGTTTTAAAAAGCATAGACTTATGGAAACAGTAATTCTTCTGTCACCAAGGTAAATAGAACCACAGCGATCAACTCAGTTAAAAAATAAATTTAATTGTAAGATAGTGAAAAACTTAAAACCTTCAATAAAAAGAAGCATATTAATCTGGCTCTGGAAAGAAGATGAAGTTGGCATTCATCATATCTCCTTTGGGAAGGAATTCCAGAGTTGGGGCACTGACACAAAGAAGTCTCTTTGCACAGTCCACACTTCCCACAGATGCTACTTAGATTACAGACCCCATCATCCTTGACCTTGGCCATGCTGGGGCTATGAGGAGCTGCAGTTCACAACATCTGGGAGATGCTGGAATTACTAGCTTGGGACCTGAGGAATCCTTGATGCGACACAACACATTATAAATTCAATTATATATAAGGTAAATTCACACAGCTCTTCTGATATGTTTGTGTTTTCCTTCAACAGGTTACTTCAGAGCTTGGATTCTCCCAACACCACATACGTGTGTGATGCTGTGGAAGGTAAGCACATCAACACAATACAGATCTGTGTGGCACATGACCCAAACGGCCAGGTAAAACTGAGGGCATGGCTGATGGAGAACAGCCATACTTTGGTCCTTAGGCTCAATTCAGCACACCTGCTTTCAGGTCAGAACAGAACAGAATAACAGTAGAGTTGTGGGGGGCTACAAGGCCATCGAGTCCGGCCCGCTGACCCATATGTGGTCTCCCATCCAGCTGCAGGCCGGCACCTTTTCCACCTGAGCCATGCTAGGTCAGTGAGCGAGACGTTAGATGGAGCCAAGAAACAAAGCAGGATCTGTTGACTAAAGCAGTTTCCCCCTGTTTCTCTTTCTTCTCCTCCCTGAAGAAAAACTGGCCCAGGAAGCCCTCAAAAAAGTGAGTGTGGATTCCACCGGCTACATTTACTTACCGTGCCCGCTGCGTTCTCACCACGCCATCTACACGTGGGTCAAGGATGAGAAGACCTACCCGTGCTGTATGGACGAGCAGTCTTGCACTCTTCGCTTTGGGGAGAGCACGCCCATGGACCAGGGTATCTTCAAATGCACCGCCAAGGAAGAAGGTTACCAAGAGGAAATAACAGCCTTCAAAGTCACACTCAACAGTGGTAGGATCCCAGAAAGCTCCTTGGCTGTGGTGGCTGCAGGAATTTTGTTCCTTACCATAACGATCCTCCTGCTATAGGCCAGACTGGGTGATAGGAGTGGAACTCATCGCACTGCCAACCAAAAGTCCCTTTTCTTTTTTTAAACGATTGGCTCTGACAAAGCCTGTTAAATCCCTTTGGCCGTGTTTGCACCTTTGGACAAGAAATCGCACTCGGCTGGAGAAGCAAGTTTGTTCATCACTCTCAAATCCGGATGTTCTACCCATCAAGATTTCTCTCCAAGTCCACCAGATATTCTGTGTTCACTTCAGAATGAGATTTCATAAGAAAGAGCTTTCTGAATGACAGCAGGATCAAGGAAGCTGAAATACTGATGGTTGCATTTCAGTGTTTGCTGAAATGTGATTTTTCTTGGAAATGTTTGAATCATTCTGGACCAAATTTGAGCTTAAGCCATGAAGAATTCCATTTCATCCCCTGGTGGCCCCATCCAAGTTGGTTTGTCCACAGTTTGAAAAGCAAAGCATTTTCACGTTGTGAAAGAAATCTTCTTCACGAATTAAATGTTACCGTTTCTCTTTTGGACCATGTATGTAATTTGTCTTGTTGCATGTGCTGCCTAACTGTGAAATTTTTACCGCTGGAGGGCACAAGATGGATTATGGATTGCTTCCGGCCCTGGACCACCGTTTGGAGCAAACCTCGGCCAAACTCTGCCTTACTTCACAAGCCAGGCGGCTGCTGAAATAGCTGTCAACATCTCCTGGAATTTAACTTTCTGTGGGCAAATCTGCCTGGGAGCAAATACCGTGAAAAGCATGGCATTTAGACTCTGCTGTCAGAACTCCGTGCCAGTTATTCCACTGTCTCGTTCCAGTCATGCAATGTACGTCTTGTAACGGCCCAGCCTATATAACCTTACATTCTAAAAATGCATGCAATCAACAGTTCTCCCGAGAAAATCCTCAGGAGGTCAAGCAAATGGAGTCAAGCAAGAGGGAAGAGTCAGTTGCAAAGGAAGGACCAAACTATGGGCTATGGGTGACCAAGGCTCCAGAAGAGGCTAGTCCATGACAATCTGGAGGACAGGTGGTACTGAAAACATAATTTTCTGAGGCACTGGGACTGTGGAAGACAGGGGCCAGGCATCTTCTGGGGCTGCTGCATCTTGGTCATGAGTTGCTGGAAGAGACAGGCCAGCAGGATTGGAAAAACATCCCGAATTCTCATGAAAAGCAAGCTGTGAGCGCTGGCTGCTGATGAGCATCAGGTGTTATTGCTTGTGGACTTTCTGGAAGCTTCTGGCTGGCCATGGAGAGAACAGAATGGCCTGGAGTCTGATCCATGGCGGAAGATGATCCTGAAACAGGGACCGGGGTTTGGGGGCCAGTGGGGGTGGCTTTGGAAAACCACTTATCAGGTGTACTCAAAAGAGCTGGGCACTTTTAGAATGGAGAAGGAAAAGTTAAGCCGTGACCCTCTGTCTGGGCTCCTGCAGTGTTTACTTTCTGCTCACAGGGGTTGAGCTACATGACCTTCGGGGTCACCACCCTAAAATTCTGACTCTCTCTCCAGTCAGTCCTGCTGCTTTCTGACCATTGATGCAAAAGGCATTTTCTTTCTCATTAGGATTAGTATATAAGGGAAGTATTTTTTTAGAAAGTTTATATGAAATCTATTTACAAAAGTAGGGGGAAGTTGCCACAGTGGGGAAAATGGGAAATCAAAACTCAGAGGATTGTAATTAAGGCATTATATTGCTTCAAGAGAATCGCTGTTTCAGTTCGATACACCCTTAGCACGGGACTGAATCCCACTGAATTCAGTGGGTTTTCTTGGGACACGATTCTCTCACGTCGACTGGAGCATATATGCAGAAAAAAAAGTTTCTGGGTTGTGTCCACAACGTGTTTGGGAATCGCACTGTTTGGGGAGAACCTGGATAATCTTGTGTTGCTTGGCGGAGAGGAAGATAATTCACATCCCCCCCAGGATACCCCCAGGGTTAAGGGCACACATCCAGACCAGGGGGAATGGCCTTACTTTCAAGGAAACATTCAAAAGATTAGATCGTCCATAGATTGGCTCACGTTTTAGATCCTTATTTATGATCTTCTTACTCACGGCAATGTTTCTACAGGAGTGAACTGGCCTATCCCAATCCATTCTCAGTCTGAAATGTAAGTTACATCAGGAGAATGATAGCTGTCTGGCTTTTTTGCACATTTCACCAAAACAGGAGCTCATCTTGTCCATTACTAAGATGATGCTTGTGCGGGAATTGTTGGTATTTTTAAGCAGCTCCATTATCCGAGTGGGTTACTTGAACCCCAAGAAGCTGCCGCTTCAGTAGGGCTGCATCTCTGCTACTGGAATTAGCTGTGGACCTCGGTGCACTTATTTTGCTTTCATTTCTGGGTGTTCTGCATGGCTATTTTCTATATGTGAGCTTCAGAAGACACACGTGGGAGCTGGATTTTTTCTGTGCATGGTAAGACATGGAGGTGCTCCCTCCATGCAAGGGAATGGACGCACAGAATCTTTAAAGCTAGAATATTCACTAAACACAGTGAAAAAGAAAGCAAGAGCTGCAATGCACCTCAGTGTTGTTCAGCGAAATGGAGTGCACTTTGGAATCAGAACTTAAGAGCAGCCCCACTGGATCACCCCAGGGTCCTTCCAGTCCAGGCCTTCTACTCACATAGTGGCCAACAAGCTGCCTGCAGGAATCCCACAAGCAGGACACACATTTTGCCACGAATTTCCAAGCTTTGGGGACTGAGTGTCCCAAAGAGCCTTCAACACTGGGGGCAGCACCACAGACTTCAGGTGCCAGGATGAGGTTATGTCGTGTAGAAAGAGTCTTGTTGGCCAACGTGGGCACAGTTAAAGGGGAGCCCTGGGGGTCAGTCCCAACGTAGAACAGTGCCACAATTGAACACTGGTATCCCCTGTAAGCTGCAGGGCTTTCAGTGTAAGACAGCACCAGATACGAGATGTTGCATCAGCTCTCAGAAGGACATCTGTAAATGCTTGCACTGCCATGTTGAAGGGCTGGAGGTCAAAATAGCGGTGGTTTCTTTGGAAAATACATGGCGATGGGGGGCTGTTTCATCCTCCCTTCGCAGCACATGGTCCATTCCCACCCGGATTCTGCTTTGCTATGTACTGAAAGTGCTGATCTGTACTGATCTCTCAATCCGTTTCTTTCACTGTTTGGGTGCGGGGAGGAGGGGGGAGAAATAAACGTGACTGAACACTGAACAAAGCGTGTGTCTCAGCTGATGCCTGGATGTATGACTTAGTAGCGCAACCACCGTCCTTTCTAGCTGGGGCAGGATGTGAGGTGCAACTCTAATTGCAGGTGTGAATCCAAACCACTCCTGTTGGGCTGACTCCCCAGTAAAAACAAGCAAACAAAAATGCCTATTCCGAAGTTCCGTGACGGATTTGTGCTGGTTTCTTTTGGGGTTTGCACTTTGTGAGCTGCCAAATGCATGCGTTTCCTTCCTTTTTCCCCACTTCGCCTTTTCCTTCTTCCTCTGCATTTACATGTGGAAGGTATTAAGAAACAGTGTACACAGGTATACAACCGGAGCAGAATAAGAACACTGCAGCTTATTCAGACACACAGGAAATAAATGCAGCATGCTGGCATTCCACAAGGGATGCACAGTTTGGAGGATCAGGTAGACAGTTTGCTGGAGGCTCATGAGAATGGAAAAAAAAAGCTTGAACAGATCAAGCCAAGGACAAAAGAGGAAGACGTTTGTAGACGGGCATAAATGTTTGGACATTTTGGCCAGCACTGGGAGAAGAAAAGTAAAGGTCGGTAGCACAAAGAAGACTAAAACTGTTGCTTAGGGTAGCTGATGAGAATTTATAGATGTGAAGATGACACACACTTTGTGCACAATCGCACGCATGTTTTGGATAAGACGGGGGGGGGGGGAGTTATGCGACTCCCTTTTCCGTTGAAGCATGATTAGGATTGTGCCTTTTCTTAGGCAACAATATTGCCCCAGAGGAGGACTAGTCTGGCGGTTACTACTGTCTTCAAAAGGACCAGCCTGAAGTCAGCTCGGTCAAAACCAAGTCCTACGATTCCCAGCATGCCCCAGTCAGCGCGGTCTGCTGGGGCATGCTGGGAGTCGCGGGATCTCTGCTCTGAATGACCGTGATTCCGCCCCCTATCGGCCCTTATGGGGAAGCTGGCGCCCATTTTATTCGACCGGGGAAAGAGAAACGCCGGGTGCCGCCGCTCCTCGTGCTCTGACGCTGCAGGAGCGAGCGGGGCTGGGGCGCCGGTGCGGGGACAGCGCGTGACTCCCCGCACGCCCCACGCTGGATCCTGATTGGCTGCGGCCGCCAGGCCCTCCCTTGCCTATTGGTGGTGGTGGTTTAAATGTTCCCACGCTCTGCCCGCTGCGTCGCCCTCGCGCAGCCCTCCGCACGCCTTGCTCGTTTTTCATTGGCTCCCCTCCACCTCCTCCCCGCCCCCTGGTGGGCGTTCGCTTAGGCCGAAGCGCCGCGCTGCGATTGGGTAAGGCGCAAAGGAGGCCCGGAGGCGGCGCCGTGATTGGGCGGCGGGATAGCTATATATAGGAGGGCGGGCCGGAGCGTGCCTGCCTCCCTGGAGCAGTAGCAGCGCGGCGTGGGCGTAGCGCAGGTAACGCGCTGCGGCTTGGGGGAGGCATTCAAGTGGAGCCGCTGCGTGGGGAATGATGGGGGCTGTAGTCCGGCACATCTGGAGGTCACGGAGTGGGGAGGAGTGCGCGCGCGCCTGTTAGGCAGAAGGTTTTAGGACGACCCAAGGGAAAGCAGGTGCGTCGGACCCCAGGGAGAACTTGTCTGTGTGTCTGTGGGAGGCGAGGGGCAACCCGAGAGAGGTTTCAGTTCGCGGGGGGGGGGGGGATAAAGGGAGGGTACTGAAGAGCAAAGGGTAGAGAATGGTCGGACCAGATAGAAAACTAAGCAGAGAGAGTAGGAGGGTGTTGAGTTATTTATACTTCATTATTGCATTTTTTTTAAATTTCGCTTCTCCCTCCTTGTAAAGAGCCCGAAGTCACCCAGTGAGTTTTATGGCCAAGGCGGGACTAGCGTCCAGGGCTCTTGTTCCGTGCCCAGTCAGTCGCTGGGATTGTGTAAGCCGGGCTGGTGACTAGCCCTAAACCATCAGTAACTAAGTGGGGACTAGTCCATTGCTGGACCCAGGCTTCCTTAATTGCATTTTTGTACTGCTCAGTAGCCAAAGCATTTGGGGTGCTTGTAACAATTAAAAAATAAAATACAGTATAAAATTAAATATTTAAAAGTGCAGCATGAGGTAGAAATGAAAATCGGAGTGCGTCCTGGCAGAAATACAAGAATTCAAAATGCAGCATAGCATTTAAAGCAGACTGCAGCCAAGATAACTGGGAAAATAAGGTCCTCAGCTGGTGCCAGCAAGAGGCCAGGGTAGTGCCTGCTGAGCCTCTCAGAATTTCATTCTATAGCCAGGGTGCCTCGACAAAAAGGCCTCTCTTCTTCTTGTTCGCCACCTGCATTCCTTTCCCAGAGGCTCCCGCAAAAGGATTGCTGAAGATGACAACAGGTCGTCTTGGAGAGGCCGTGCTGGACTGGGTACCCATCCTGGTCTGATTTGCAAGCCACTTCAGTTATAAAGCAGGACATGCAGCCTTGATGCTGTGGGGGGGGCGGTTGGGGGGGTTGTTAAATTTGTATACCACACCCAATGGCCTACCGCGGGACTCCGTGGGTGGTGTACAACAATTCAGATCAGTTCTGCTATAGCTGTTGAACAGATTTTGACAGCTGGGCTTTGGGGATGCTAGTAAAATCATCGTCATCATCATCAAACAGCATGTTTCCTAAACAGATTGTTTTGGTCATTCTCTTTGTTGCTTCTACACTTTTGTCCTGCACTCTGCAGCCCCCTTGGGGCAGGGACCTTCCACCTCTTCCTCTCTCTGAGTGGTTTCCATACCGGTGGAACATCCTAATTTTCTGACTAAGTAATTTTGTACTTGTCAAGCATTGTGCTTGGCGGGCAAACAGAAGATTAAAAGGGGCTTGCTGGAGAGAAGCCAGCAGTGGCCTCCTAGCCCAGCGCTGCTGCAGCCCCCGCACCACACCTGGTCAGCCGCTGCTTTCATGCCCCTGCTTCCGTCTAACACAAACTTACAAGCAGCATGTGGTCTGCCTGCCATGGTGAAGATTAGAAGTTTTGTGGTTCATTTGTGATGGCTGTTGTTTACTGTGAGAGTGTGGTGGGATACAGCACTGCAGGGAAGGCGCGAAGCTATTTCCTTGCTTTGGGTCATCCCATTCTACCAATTCCAGGGATTTGTACCCTGCTGCTCAGCTGAAGAGGCAGTCACTGCCCTTAAGCTTTTACTCTGAAAGCTTTTACACTTTAAGGAAAAGAAGGCTAGAAGGGAGGAGGGGAAAGAACAGACATGGGCAGTAATTCTCAATTAGTACAGGGCTGCATTACCTTATACAGAAACCTCCAGGGGCCAGATACAAGCACAGAGCTCTGCTGTAGTTAAAAACAATCAGAGCCAAAATACCAGCACACCTTTATGTAAAGGTGTTAATGCAGGTAGCTAAGTACTGGGGAAGCCATTGAAGCCTTTTCAGATGGGAGGGAGAGCCAGTGTGGTGTAGTGGTGACGAGCATGGGACTGGGACTCAGACGATCTGGGTTTGAGTCCCCACTCGGCCATGGAGCCACCTGGGTGACTTTGGGCCAGTCACAGACTCTCACAGGGCTGTTGTGGGGATAAGATGGAGGAGAATGATGTAAGCTGGCTTGAACCCTTTGTAGGAAAAAGGCAGGATATAAATCAAAAAATAAATAAATAAAATAAATAAAGCAGGTAAAAACTAGGGAAACAGGGTGGTTAACCTGAGACACCCCAAAGGACTGGGTTGGGATTGTGAGGGCTGGCAGAGGTAGTCAGAACAGCAGCTTTTTGGGTGGAGAGGGGGCCATGCGACCCCCGTGCTGCACTTCTGTGCTGTGGGAAAATGAGGTGCTGGTGTGGAGGGACCCCTGGTCTGATCTAGCAGGTGGGCTATCCGAGCACTGGATGCTGGGAATGTGCCAAGTGGGGCAGACTGGCTGTGGGGGGAGTTTGAATACTGACCCTGAAAGACTTTCGGCTCGTTCCCGCAGAGCCGTTCTTGTGTAGCTACGGAACTAGAGTGCGTACGCGTCCAGAATCAAAGTGCCTCTCTGGCTTCGCTCCTTCTCGGCGCTGTGCCTGGCGTCTTTCCCAGCTTTTCTTCTCCTTGTGGCACGCTGGTGGAGGCGGGGGGGGGGGGGGGCAGGGAACCTTCACCGCGAGGTTGGATGCCGCAGCTCTGGGTGCTTGGGAAGCCAAGTTGCTGCTTCCTCGGCGATGCTGCTGACTGGCGGGTCTCCTCGGCAGCCTCTCGGGATGCTGTACCTGGTCTCCCTCTCCGGTGGCGAGCTGATGCTAAGGCAGTTCTTCCCCTGCCCGCTTAGGACAGCACCCACTGCCACAGGGGCCATGGCCAGCGAACGGAGCTCCTGGAACAGCCTGACGACGCTGCAGAAGGTTGCACTGGGCCTCGGGATCCCAGCCAGTGGAGCCATCCTCTATATCTTGTACCGCCGCTACCGGGAGAGCCAAGGTGGGTATGCCCCCGATGCTGGTTCCATGGGCAGCGGCCTCGCTCCGCTGAAACCGCCACATGCTGAGCCAGGCCCTGAAAAATTTACTGCTCCCATTAGCCGGGTTTCTCTCCTTGCTTTGGCAGTTGTTCAAAACTCAGCTTCTGGCCTCGGCACATTCTCATAAGGGTTGTATTTCTTCAGTGCCTTCTGGCCGTATCTATCCCTTTCGGTCCTGGGTGCTTTAGAGACAAGTGGCTGTCTCGATTTCGCAGTTCCAGTCTGCAGCCAAAGAAGGGAGGCCCCCGTGGCATTTCACAGGGGTTCTGCATGGGGGTGATACATGCTTTAGCACTTCCGGTATCTCCTGGTCCAGCAGACCTGCTAAGCTTCCCCCCTCCCTGCCCTTCCCAACATGCTCCTGGCTCAGCTTTCTCTTTTCAAAGGAAGGTTGCAGAATCTCTTCCTGCCCAGATGTCAAATCCTGTTTCAGGAAAACTCCCGGAGGCAGGGTTGCAAGAGAGGCAGGCAAACGCCTAGAATTTGGGGTTGCGGAGGAGAGCATGGCAGGAAGGGTTGGTGTGTTTGATCCCTACTTCTGTGTGTATGTGTGTGTGGTCATTTCCCTCAGAAGAGCAGCTGACGTTTGTAGGAGAAGAAGAAATCGAAGTGGAGATGAAGGTCCCGAAGGAAGCCATGAAGATTCTCATTGGGCGTCACGGAACTATCATCAAACAGGCAAGGAACACGGCTGGTTTTGTTTCAGTGAATCCCGCGTAATCTTGAGGCCATTTGTGGTATTTTCTGTGAAAAATGGAAAGGCCCTGAAAGGATTTGTAAACAAACAACAGGAACAGCAGAGGCTTGGACTGATGGGTGTTGGAGCCGAACACCCGTTAACATTTAAAAATGTTTTAAATAAACAAACAAACACCAGGCTGGGAATGGCGGGACTAAAACAATATTCAGGGGCATTCAGAATGTCACTTGGAATTTTTTTTATTAGGGTGATTTTAAAAAACAGGCAGTGTCTCTCGGTCATGCACACATTTGGGCCAGTCACAGACTTTCAGCCCAATCTACCTCACAGGGTTGTTGTTGTGGGGATGAGATGGAGGAGGAGATGTAAGCTGCCTTGAGCCCTTTGTAGGAAAAAGGCAGGATATAAATCGAAAAATAAATAAAAATAAAATGTGCTAGCCTAGGTTTGTTTAGGTGGTAGGGAATCATTGAAGCTGCTGAACATGGTTTACATACTGTACATTAATCTTAGTATGTCTGGAAGATCGTGCCACCGAGGGATAGCAACCTGAAAGGGGTGTGGTTAGTCTCAGTTCACCATATAGTACAGTAATGGATGTTTTTAATGTTTGTAGATATTGTAATTCTGCAGTTAACATTAATTATCAATATGCTTGTAAACTGAATGTGTTAGTGATTGTAGAGATTATTGATGAGTCTGGCTGTGTTCAAGGGCTATTGGGAACTGGACTGGGGAACGGACCTGTCCCAGCCTCGCAGAGGCAGCGTTGAGGCTACAGTTAAGGTGGCCCATCCTCCTTTCCAGCTGAGGAAGGACAGCTGTGCTCGCATTGATATAGATGTGGATGATTCCGGGGAGGAGCAGCTGGTCCGCATCGGTGGCTCACCTGTCCAGGTCTGCAAAGCTAAAGCGGCCATCCACCAAATCTTGGCGGAGAGCTTGCCAGTCAAGGAGAAGATCCACGTGCCCCAGCGAGCGGTCGGGCGCATCATCGGTACTTGCTCGCTCCCCAGCATCTCCAAAACCCTCCCTCCCCTGCATCCAGTTTTGCAAATATATTTTATCCCACTCGCCTGCAGACAACTGATGCCATTAAGCCCGTCTTTCCCTGTGTCTCCCCCAGGCAGGGGTGGGGAGACGGTGAGAGCCATCTGCCGGAGCACCGGGGCCAAGGTGGACTGTGACCGGGCAGGGGACAGCTCCCTCGCCCTCACCCGTCTCATCACGCTCTCCGGGACTCGCAAGGAGGTCGAAGCTGCCAAGGTGAGTGTGGATGGATTGGTGAAGGTGGCCTTGGACGGCCCCAGTTCTGCAGCTCCTGGGAAACTCCTCTGCTGGAGTAGAACAGCTGCTTAGACCGGATTCTGCGGCCCAGTTCGGAATGCTGGTTCTGTCGGTTTTTTCCAACCCCCTTACAGATTATGGCAGGGGTGGGGAATTTGTGCCCCCCTCTGAGATTGGGCTACGACTCCCATCAGCCTTGGGAAGCACAGTCAATGCAGAGGGATGATGGGAATTCCAGTCTAGTAAAACTGGGAGGCCCACAGGTTGCTGTCTGCTGATTGGCCAGCTACCCAGAGGGCCTGCGTATCGGATCGGCTTCCGTGCTAACACTGGAAGTGATCCACCTCACCCTCCACTCCCCATAATGGCTTTCCAGCAAAAAAAAAAAAAAAAAAAAAAGGCACATTCCTGAATGCATTTTAGGAGTAAGAAGTAGCTTTTTGAAAGGTTAACATTTACGATGCTAATTCTTTCGAAAGGTTTTCTTTGGGGCTGCTTTCTACTGCCGTGTATATTTTTCGTTGTGGTCTTTCAAGCCTTCATGGAGCGCCTTCATATACACCCCCCCCCCACAACCTAGCACTTTCCAGATGTGTTGGACTCCCAGTGGTCAGGAATTCTAGAATTTGCAGTCCAAAACATCCAGAGCTCACCCCGGTTGGGGCAAGAAGCTTTAAGAAAGAGGCTGGGGTACAGATGCCAGAATCCCTGACCCTTGTCCTGTGTCTTGATGGCGGGAAGAGGCAGTGAATTTTGAAATGTATTTATTTATTATTTATAATTTATTATTTGCATTTGTATGCCACCCTAATAACCCAGAGGGCTCTCTGGGTGGTTTACAAATTCACTCTTGACAAAGGTCAAATGGGACACTTGGCTTTCCTGGTTGTCCCCACTCCCAATTTACAGGAGCAGGCTGAGGGAAAGCTGGGGGACTTGCTCTATTTGGACTGCCCCCCCTGAATGATGTAGGCCAAAGCAGGGCTTTGCTGCCTGTCCTGCTGGAAAACCGTTTTTCCTTTGCCCTCCTCATCCTCCTTTCCTTGTATGTGGTACTACAAACCTCGCGGACAGGGGCTGTCTTATTCTACTGACTAATTGTAAGTCCCGTTAACCGGAGGGCTGAGGAGCAGCATAACAATACTTCGGTAAACATCATAAAGCAGCGCTTGGGTCCAGATCCACGCTTGCGGTTGCCCAGCATTGGGCGTGCCTGCAACGGGTGCTGAGCACGTCACACTGCAGCATTTTCTGGTGCCTTCACCGCCTGCAGCAACTGATCCTGGAGAAGCTGTCTGAGGACGAAGCTTTCCGCAAGAAGCTCTCGCAGTCGGCGCAGGTGCGCACTCCACGCAAGCAGCCTCTGGGCGTGCGGAAGGAGGAGGCTGCCGGTGACCAGGGAGGGCCGCCTCACCGTTGGAGAGAGCTGTCAAGTCTCTCTGGCCCGGAAGCGGAGGCAAGAGGGATGCCAGAGGATTCCCCGGATGAACCGCAGGTGCTGAGGAGCCAAGACGTGTCTCCCGAAGATTCTTTGTCGGGGGCTTCATGTCCAAGTGCTGCATTTGAAGGTAATCAGGAGGTGATGGCCTGCTCTCTCGATTCTTTTCCCCTAGTCTTGCAGTGTTAACCAGAGACCTGTTCAGAGGTAGACTGCATCTGAACCCGGAGGCTCTGTCAGGCTGTCATGATCAAGAACTATGGGTAGATCTGCTCTGTGAGCTGGTCACATACCTGTTTTGACAGCTTGTGGCAATGAGTTCTCTATTTTTCAAGGGCTAGCAGCTTACTTTAAAGGGGAAAAAGTTATCACCTAAAATTATACTGCGGAGCAGAATGTAGTTCATTGCAGGCTTTGGGAAAGGGAGCGGGGTAGCCAGGCAAAGATCCATCCATAGCTATTTCTCCTACATTGCACTACACCATTTGATTGCTTCAAGTCTTCTTGCAGCCACAACTTTCTGCATTCTTGACAAGTGACTGTTTGGGATCTTTCCTCCATGAGGACTAGTGACTTTAAAAAAAAACCTAGTCTGAAATTCTCAAATTGTCAGTACTCTTGCATGTAAAATGCCAGGTTGGGGTGGCTTAAAGGCCTGGGTTGGGGAGTCTCCTTTTTAAAATCTTTCTGAGACAAGTTGCTGGATGTTGCTCTTCCTCCCGGCATCCTGTACATCTTCAGTCCCCAGCCCTGACTTCAGCTTCCTTGCCAACGAGCACCTTGAGGTCTACGTCTCGGCTTCCGAGAACCCCAACCACTTCTGGGTCCAGATTATTGGTTCACGGGCCCTCCAGCTGGACAAGCTCACCCGCGAAATGACTCAGTACTACGAGAACGCCAACTCGGTGAGCCACTGTGGCCGGGAGAGAGGCCTCTCTCTCGGGTGGGCCGTGCGTCCTCTTCCCCTCGGGCCTGACGCACCTCTTTGCCTCCTCTGCCCAGGCTGAGCTCCCAGACGTCCACATCGGCGATATTGTGGCAGCTCGGTACCCGGACGACAATTCTTGGTACAGAGCCAGAGTCCTTGGGCCTTTGGGCAACGGAAACCTGGACCTTTACTACGTGGATTTTGGAGACAACGGAGAGGCCCCCTTGGAGAAGCTGCAGCCACTGCGGTACGGCCCAGGGAGGTGCCCACGAGCCTGGCTTCAGGCTTGGCCCTGTCCGAGAAAGGATCTGGATGCCTAGCTTGCTTCTTGTGATCCTGGCAAAAGCACAACTTAACTGTTGCCAGAAGAACTTTGGTCAATTGTCAGGAGATGTCCTGAAAAGGTTCCCTGTTGTGGAACAGTTTGGGACTTTGCTGTCTGTCCTGGAATGCGACATTGGCTATACTGGGGTGGGCAGAGGGTAGATAAAGCAACAGCATCCAATCGGTACATAGTCCAGTAGTCAAGTAAAAACCAGGTTTGAAAAGTGGAGGACAGCACGGCCATGTTGCGAAGCTGTTTGTGGGGACTTCCAGGGCCTTGTGAAGGCAGCACAAGATCCCTTGAGCAGCTGAGCGTGATGACTTTTGTTCCTGACCTTCGGTGGTCCATCTGCGTCCCCAGAGTGGCTCACAAAAGTGTCAAACTGTGTGTGTTCCAACTGTTAGAAACCACATAAAACGTCACAGGCTGAGATCTCCAAACAGAAGAGGCTTTAGAGTAGTTTTTTGTGTTAAAACCTGGGGAAATGTAGATGTCTGCCTGGTGCAAAGCCATACCTAAGTAGGATTCCGGCAAGGAAGGGATGGATGGAGGATGGAGAAGGCCGACTGGCTGCGGACGGGCTCTTGAGCGGTGTGGGGCACGAAAGGTGGAGGTGAGCTCCTTGACACAAGCAGGGAGGCAGCGAGACTGCGAGGCACCATGGGTGCCCACTGCGCTCCTCCAGTCTGGCCCAGCATTGCCAGTTAGTTCCTTCTCTGGGTGTTCAGGTCCAGCTTCCAGGATCTCCGGGTGGCAGCTGGGGGAAAGCTAGTCTTAGCTGACTGTAGGACTGTGCACTCCGGACAGGGGAGCGGCTACCACATGAGCATCAAGCCCCGTGTGGAGCCACAGAGGCCAACTCTCTTCGCTTGCCTTCCTGCAGGAGCGACTTCCTGAGCCTGCCGTTCCAGGCGATCGAGTGCGGCCTTGCCAACATAGCTGCAGCGGGTGAGTTGCGCCGGAGAACTGCTTCCCCTTGCGGAGCCGGGCCCTTTGTGCAGCTTTCCTCCCAGCCTTCGGCAAGAGAGATGCTGCTGGTGCAGCGGCTTGTCAAGGGTCTCGGCAGAGACAGCCCGTCCTCAGGCCCCAGACACGGAAGCACACACAGAGCGAGTCAGAAGGGGCCTCCGAGGCCATCTAGTCTGACCCCCGGCTCCACTCACGACATGCCCACCATGGGCAGGTCCAGCCTGTCTTTGAACACGACACATGAGGAAGAGTAACTGGTGTGGAGGAAACGAGCAGACACCGGCTCTTGCGCCAAAGCTTTTGTGGGCGTTCTCTCTGGCAGGGAAGGAGGAAAGACCCTCCCTCCAGCTGCTGCTGCTCTGACTGGCCTGTGAGGTGTCTTTCCCTCGCTGCGATGGTTGTTCTGGGAGGATGCATTTCCGGCCTCCTCGTAGCCCTCGGTTCTTGGATTGTGATCCTGAAGTCAGCTTAAGGTGGCGACGAGGCCAGCTGGCCTGGCCGGAGGCAAGCACTGAGCTGGGTTTCCTAGCCCTCATGCCTGCCTTTTCCACAGGGGGTCAGTGGGAAGAGGCAGCGCTGGACGAATTCGACCGCCTTACGCACTGCGCCAAGTGGAAGCCGGTGGTGGCGAAGATTTCCAGTTACGTGCCTTCTGGAAGTAGCACCTGGCCGCACATCCGCTTGTACAATACCACGGAGGGGCAGGTGTGTGCGGTTGGATTTTTCCTTGGGCGCATCCTTTCATTTAAAAATGCTTACTGGCGAGAGCTCCTTCTGGCCTGCCTGCGCTGGATTTTTATCACACAGGGTGGCCACTACCCTGTTCCCCGCCCCCCTTGGATTTTTGAAAAGCAGCTTTGGTTGAGTCCGCCTGTTTCCGGGCTGCACCATTTCAGAGCGCGGGTGCAGGCGGCTTGGATGGAATGCCCTTCCCCTCCCAAAGCTCGTGCACTCTGCTTGTAGAAGAGCAAATTCAGTGGGCGGGCAGGCGGCCACCGACCTCTGCGTGCAAGGAAAGGGCTTTTTAGTTTTGTCCAACATTAGTTCTACCTGACATGCCATTTCCTCCCTGGCCTCCTAACCGACTGACTTTTCCTCCCATGCGCCCCTCTGTTCCCAGAACACTGATGTTGGCGAAGAGCTGGTGCGGTTGGGCTATGCGGTACGGTGCCTGCCCGATGATGAGGGCGCTACGGGGGATGGACCCCATCACCTGGACAAAGGAGCCGCGTCGAGCACGCCCCACAAAAACCTGGTCAGTAACAGCTCTGAATCTCTCCTTCCTGAGTCTGAATGCACTGGCTTTAAGGGCCTGTAGGGGCTGGGCATTCTCCATATATCGGTCAAGGACCTAGTCCTCATAACAGCAGCCGAAACTCTTGCTTTAAACTCCTTAAAACACGTTCAACCTGAAAGAGGTTGTTGGTTTATTTTGAAAAGTGCATGGAGATGGCACTTGTTTCAGATTCCATCCAGTGGTGCTAAGGTTTTGTGTGTGTGGATTATTTATTTATTATTTAGAATTTTTGTATGCCGTCCCATTCACAGGAGCCTCGGGACGGCTTACATACCATAAATAAATGCAATACAAATAGTGCACATAAAATCCAGATTCACCCTGGATTGCAGGGAAAGAGTGGAACAAGCTTCCTGCAGGCTCTCATGTTACACTAAACGCTGCTGAAAAGATTCTTTGTCCAAATGTAATCTCCTTCCTCTGAATGATAAACCTCCGAATGATAAAAGCTGCGCTTGGGACCTGTTGCAATTCACAGCACTTGACTGTTTATCTGCTAATCAGTCACTGAACACACCTATATCCCCCAGTAGGCCAACCATGGATAAATTGAAGAAAAGTTCAATTCTTTTGAACTTTTATTGAAGAAAACCCAAACTTTTATTGATACGTGGGTAGATTCATTTGCTTTTACTGCTGACGAACTTATGGGGTTTGCTGTTTAATGTATGGATCCCTTTAGCACTGACTTTGCCTCTTCAGGAAACTGTTCTATTCAAAACATATGAAAGGAGTCCTACTAGTTTATAATGTAAGATTAAAAATAACAGTTTTTAGTGACTGAACAAGAGCTGCAGCTAAATCATAATGAAGATATACATAACATTAAGGTAAAAAACGATATATGCAGTATTATCTTCATTTTGATGTCAAAAGGGTTTTGCGGCTCCCAGTGTTTTCTTTTGTGTGGGAAACGGGTCCAAATAGCTGAGTGTTAAAGGTTGCCGACCCCTGACCTTGACTATATGAACTTACGGGGCTGAGCATCCTTCGAATCCCACCCCCCCGCCCCCCGGCTGAAAGATCTTCCCCCTGTGCCTGCCTGGAGTACATTTTTGACCACATTGAGTGGAAACGAAGCTTGACCCACTCATATCTGGTGGGTATGATGTGGACTTTGGGTTTATTCCCTTGGCTACCGGAGATGGTTCAATTGCACTGGAAGAAATGGGAAGACGACTGATGCATGGTGGGAAACTGCTTCACGAGTCAGTGGGCCGTAAGGGTCTCCGTAAGGTGGCGTGCATGCTTCTCTCTCCAGGAAAACACAACAGGAGCGTCGCTAGAGAGCCTTCTCTCGGATACGCAGAAAACCCCCGATGAGATGCCGCTCACCCTTTCCTGCGTCAGCCTGTCAGGTAACCCCTTCTGCCGTGGGGCGGACAGGTCGAAGGTGCGCGACAGCGACGCTGGCAGAGCTGATGTCGGGGTCGTCCAGAGGCACTTGCGGTGCTTATACCCTGTCCCTGGAACTCCTGGGGTGGCCACCTGTGTCCTTTCCTGGAGTTGCCTGATCTGGACAGTCCCAGGGGCCTGACCCTCGGGAGATCCAGGTTCTAGTCCCCACCTGGCCACAAGGCTCCCTGGGTGACGCCGAGTCCATCCGTGGCTCTCAGCTCACCCCACCTCGCAGGGTGGTTGTCAGGAGAAAGCGGAGAGGAGTAGGGTTGTGTAAGGTAAGGTAATGCCTTGGGCTCCCTGCAGGGGCGTAACGAGCAAAATAACGTGGTCCTTTGGTTTCTCAGATGAGTGCATTGACGGTCTCCAGCATGAGGCAGGACCGCCTTCTCCAGCATCCTCCCCCGCGGGTCCCGTGCCCCCTTCGGAGCTCTTACAGCTCTCGGCCACCACCTCCACCTCTGAGAATTCCTCCGCAGTGTGCCCTAGAATGGGGGATGACCGCGGGCACCGTGAGGCGGGCTCGCCCGAGGGCCCCCCGGCGGTGCAGCTTGAGCTGGCTCCCTTGCCCGACTGCATGGCCCTCGGGGCAGAAGTGAGGCAGACGTCCAGTCCAGCCAGTCAGAGCCAGCCCGGAGAGAGCGAAGGCTTCTCCGGCAGGGAGCGCCCGTCCCTCAGCAGCCAGCCTGACAGCTCCACATACTCACTCCGGGGCTCCTTCTACTATCTCTCCATGTCCACGGATGGTTCGGGTTACTCAGTCTTCTGCAGAGGATTGCCCTCCTTCAGGGAGTCCGGCCCGACTAGGCCGCTGTCTGCTGTAGCATCCTCCGGCCACAGCTCCTCTCGCAACACCCCTGCCAGCGGCAGGGAAGGCCGTGCCTCTGGGGAGGAAGGTACCACGGGCTTCGCTCACACAAGCACCTCAAGAGGTGTTGGGGAGCACTGCGCTTCGGATGGCCCCGCCACCTCCACCCCGGCCCCCTTGCACGGGAGGCACGGCTTCTGCTAGGGCGGCTAGCATTAACCGGTTCACCAAGCCGTGCTCACACCTGTGTTCTGGAGAACCCCGGGGTGCATGGGAAGCTTCTCCGGGAGATCTTGGGAAACGCAGCCAGCCCAGCACTTCCTCTTGCCCCCTCCCATGTGTGTCTGCAGGGGAGTTCGGAGCATTCGAGGCCTAGGCTGCCTGCTCCAGCAGGCTATTGGTGAGCAACGCCACCCACTGAAAGTGAAGTAGCTGCTAAGCTATGAAAGCCATCGGCCGGCCCTGGCCGTGACTCACAAAGGCGCCATCCATCCGGTCCTTGATGGCCGCTTTGCCAAAATTTGCCGCATCCGTTTCAGATGTTTAGGGCTTCCCGTGTTGATGAATCTACGTGGAAAATCCTCTCTTAAAACCACTACATTAACCAAGATTTCTTTAGAAGACAAATAGGTGAAGACCGATTGTCCTTTGTGGGATCAGAAATGGCTACACAGGCTTCAGGTCTGTAGCTTCTCCTGGAGCTACTATCTGGAGATGACAAGAATTGAAGTCAAGGTGCCAAACCAGGGGAGACTAGCAGTGGAACAAAAAGAGTGAGCACTGGCACTCCTGTTTTTAAAAAGTCCTCACATTCTCTTAGGTTTTACTAATAGGAGAGGCCCTTAACAAAGCTGGAGCCCCAGCTGATGGGTAGGCGAAAAGTCCAAGGTTTGGCCCCTGGCCTCTCCAGGGATGGCAAGCGAAAGGCCTGTCCATGTAAGCAGTAATGGCCTAGGTGGACGCAGGCTCAGACTCCACGCTTCCTGCATTCCTAGATCTGAAAAAGCCAAGCAGCTGAGAAAACCGGTTGCTAGCCCTCAATATCACCCACCCCAGCACCACCCATCCAGTCCCTGGCTGCGTCACTTTGTCGGCACGGGGATCTAGCACGAAACCGACGCCACGTTCAGCTTCTTGTGCACTCCAGTCAGGGATTACGGCAGGGGGCCTGGTGCACTGGGACATTTTCACTCTGACAGGCAATGGGGATCATTCCTGCTGCACCGCCTTGTGGTGAATCTGCCTCCTCTCCCCGCAGAAGTAGCTTCTATGTCAGAGAGCGGCGGTGACATCTTCCTGCTTGAAGACAGTTCCTTGACTCCTTGAACTGCAGATGTCGGGAAGTGCGGTAAGGCAGGATGAGAATGCTAAACCCGGGTTGTCCCCCGGGCCCTCACCAGGGGGTGGGCTAGCGAAAAATGGTAACGGGCTTCTCTGCAGCATGCTGGGGGTGGGTTGGTAGCCCATCTAGAGCACAAGAACTGCCAGCCACGTCGGGCTCAACTGTTCAGTTGATGAGTGTTGGGCTGTGGCTCTTAACCCCCCCCCCCCCGATATTCCCGTGGCAGCTTGGGGTGCGGAGATCCATAGTCCAACACCTCTGACTTGGGAAGTCTGATCTGGACACACTGACCTCCTCCTTCAGAAGTTTGTATTCAGGTCCCAATGGTGATCCCTCTCACCAGTATTTGAGACTTGGGGTTCTCCTGCTCCTGGATGGGGAGGTTCCACTTAGCAATGGGGGCATGTAACAGCTGATGAGGGTGGGGGCTTGGAGCATCCCCCACCTGCTCCTTGAATTCCTTCTTAGGGATCCAGCCACCCTGGAATAAACGTCCGCTGTGCTGTTTGAAGTTTTTGGTGAGCCTCAAAAAAGCCTCTTGAAGCTTTCCCTTTCCTTGGGGTTCTCCATTGTGCTAGTAGGACTTGGTTTCAAGTCTGGGGGACTGGCCTGTGCCAGGAGGAAGGGGGAGAGGTTTCTGCAGAAGAACTGAGGTAGAGCCAGAACTTTGTTCTCTTTCCCAGTGCTTTATTTTTTGGAGAGAGAGGGAGGAAGAGTGAGTTGGTGGCAGACACCCTGTATCTTTTGTTCTTTACTGCAGGCAGCTCTCTCCTGTCCCCAGGGACATTTAAGAGCTTCTTCGTGTGAACTGAGGAATGATTTCTCCATGCAATGGGATGGTTCTCTGTACTTTTTTTTATAACTCCCTCCCTCTCCAGTTACTCTGTTCTATTTCCCCCTTACCTGGTTTTCAAGTTTTCTCCTCCTGTAACATTCCATGCCACTGGGTACTTATAGTGCAGTTTTGGGGGTTCTCAACTTTTCTCTCCTTTGTACCCCTGAAGTCTTTGGGATCCCCTCAGGTCTGCCAGTTACCTCATTCTCGTGCATGGGTGCTGCATTTCAGTGGCACTGTGGCAGAAATTGTCCCCGAAATCTGGAGATGCAGCGGTGGCCGTTACTGCTGATAAATTACTGAATAAGATTAAGCTGTGCTTATTTTTTCCTTCCTTTGCTTCAGACCATCTGCCTGGACCTGAGTAATCTGCTGTAGGAGGAGCAGCAGCAGCAGCTTTGCTTTGCAGAGGAGAGGAGAGGAGAGCATCTCGGCTTCTCGGCTGCTTCTTTGCTGTGCCACGACACATGAGGATAAACGTAACCGCAGTGGAACAAGAGGGATGTCCACAGCGGCCTGAACTCACAGGCAGCAGTTGGACAGGCTCCTGCTGCACAGTTGTGGCTTCCCAGTTGTGAGTTTGAGTTAACAAAGAGTTGGGGCCATGTTGCGCTTTCTGTTGGGGATTGCTAAGCAGAGATGCCTAGATGCTGGGTGGATTCCTTCCCCCTGCTGCTGCTAAATGAGATTCAGTGTAGGCATGGCTTTTGGGGCGTTTGTTGTCTTTCTGCTGCATGCTGGGGAGTTAAGAGTTAAGGGTCAGCTGGGCACTCGGTGCACAGAGAGACTCAGATTCTGGAGTTGGCTCTGTTCTGCGTTTTCTGCGTCACGGAATGGGGAGAGGTGCTTGAGAGTTGAATTCTTAAAATCCTGGCTGTGTTGTTGGAACTTTGTTATATCCATATATTAAGGGCTCAGCATTTCCCAAACTGCCCCCCTTCATATCACAGGCAGGGAAGCTGCACAAATATCCCGACTTGCACCGAGAAAGCTAGCATCTTCAAGGGAGAGCGCTCTTGCTTAGCCAGTATTCCTGGCAGGCTGGTGTCTCATAATCAGGTCTTTTAATTGTGAGGTGCATTCAAATATGCTACATCTTGGATCGTAGTCTACCCAGGTAACTTGATTTGATTGTGTTGCACGTATAGCGCTGCAGGAAGCCCAATAAAATAAAGCTTTGCTGGGCAACAGGGCAGGAGGAGGGCTGCTGCTCCCAAGGGGACACTTGCAAGTATTTTAAGTGCCGGGCAAGGAGGGATGTGAAAGCAGTGATCTTGATCTGTCAGGAACACAAGTTTTGGCTGGCTTACAACTCCATGCAGGCTCACCTGTGGTATCACAGAACTAGAGCTGACCTTTATTAAAAGCAGGCATGGGAAGTTGCCTGAAGGGCCAGCCTGAAAAGCAAGCTTTGCTGATTCAAGAGTTATAACCTGGTTTGGTCCTGGTGGAGTTGTCTTTCTCCTGCAGCTCTGGGGATGAAATACGGGGCAGGTGATGTTCTGTTTGAAGCCGGAAGCTTCTTCATGGCTATCCCAACCTGTTCCTGCTAGGGCCGCAGTGTAATGTGTTAGAATGCACAGAGTTCGTTATGTATATTTGACACTTTCGTTTCTCTTTCCCCTTCAAATAAAGGCTTCTGCGTGTTTGAATTCTGTGCCTGGTTTGTGGACACGGTGGTGCACAAAACAAGCTATGAGGTCGGAAGGAGCCCGGGGTGGTCCGTGGTGAGAGAAGTCAAGTGCTGCTGTGCCTTGTTATGGACACACGCCTCAGACCTCGAGCTCCTCCCACTTCTGCTGTGGAGGGTCCCCGTATGGTTGCAGACAGGTGTTACAAACTTCTGAACAGCCATTGAGGCAAGAGGAAGCTATTCCTCTCAGATTCCTCTAGGATCTGTTCCCCAGCGAGAGCCTGCGTTTGGACAATTCCTTGAATTAGGAGGGCCTCCAGAGCAACAGGCTCCGAAGCATCCCTGGTAGATAGACTCTATGCTGCCCCTTTCCCCTATTCATGATGGAGGGGAAGGTCTGAGGTTAAGCACAGGATATTTGATCGGGGTCAAGAGCAGGGACAGTGCAGCCTTGGGCCAAAGGGCAAAAGTGGACCCCTGTTTTTGTTCTGGGCGGGGAAGGAGGGGAGCGACTTTGCCTACCGAAACAATGTGAGACTTTTCCTTTCTCCTGAATTGCATCCCTTCCAGGCCTCTGGAGAGTGACAGCAGATCACATCCCAAGACAAAAGTGAATTTTCATACCCGGAGAGTCACTTTGCTCGCACCCTCAGGAGAAAGGTCCACAGACCCCGCCGTATCTGTCATCGCATCTCTTTTCCCAAGACACGCGGACCACTCCCCAGTTCATTCACAACATGATGTTGAGCTTTTGCGGCAGTTTAATGGCGCTGGGTGCGGGGACAGATGGATGCACTCACTGGCGCGTCGTTCAGTGAAAGCTGTTCACTGTTGCTGCCCCATCTGCTTGGTCCGGTGTGCCTGCCGGGGGGGTCTCCTGCTCCTGGCAGAGGCCTTGTTCCATGGTGTAGGCCATGAAAATGGTATCCTCCCAGGGTGGAAGGGCAGGGTGGTCTGGATGCACGAGTTCAAAACCCAAAAAGCCAAATGCCCTTAGCAAGTCGGCTGTTAAGACAGGACAGTGTTAGAAAGAAGGATGAGAGGATTTTCTCCATTCATACATGATACCTCATTTTCTCTTGATATATAAACAGTGTTTCGTTAAAACAACAGTATGATCCCAAAAGAGATCTTAATACAGTGCTTTCATTTAACTGTTGCATGTGACTGGTGCCGTCTTCCATAACGTACCATGATTTTCATAATCTTTTTCATAATGTTTTTATGTACCTGGGTGAGTTATAGGGCAGTTATAGGGCAGCCCTAGTCTTGGGCCCTGTTAGGCTTCCAGGGGAGTGCAGAACTCCCAGAATTCAGTTTTGGGAGAAATTACCACTTTGCTGCCCGTTGTGATGCTTTTTTCCCCCCACTAGAAACTGTGGGCTGCCAGAACAGTACCCCTGCTGTCAAAAGCAAAGTGCATGCCCATCCGTGTTACCTAGCTGTGTCAGCTCCCTGGGTGGTTCTGAAAACGGAGAAGCAAAGAGGGTGGCTAGGATCTCCAGTCCTTCTAGTGTAATTAATTAAATTAATGCCCATCAGCCATTCCTCTCCCTTTTCTTTTCTAGGCTGCCCTGACAAACTCCGAGTGTTACTTCCATAAATAGAGACCATAACTAGCCATATGGTACATTTCAAGTGTTTCGAGTTCTTCGTGTTAAAGCCTGTTTCTTTCCTACTTCATCCTCATCTTCATGGTGTTTCAGATTCAATTTTAGGCCAAAAAAAAGCAGGCTGAGCAGCCTGGAATAAAGTTTTCTTACCCCGATCAGACCGGGACTTGTGGAAGTTGATGAACACCTGGTCTGCCTCTGTTTTTTCCTCAATGTATTCCAGCGTTGCAGTCAGACTAGGAGCAGAAATACCCACAGCATAAGGTTTTGAAGTGAATAGTTCTCTTATCTTCCAGAATGAGGTCTTTTTCCACCCACCATCCCAAATAAGGCATTCAACCTGTGCCCAGTCTGTACCACTTCAGAATATGGAGGGCAGCTCTCAGGTTCTGATCCTCCTCCATGCAAAATATTACCCTAATGATCCTGGCTTTTTCAATGAATATTTATGTTGGAACTCTGTTCCCCAACACGGTACACATTTCTATATGCAATTGACACTTGTTAACTTGCCTACCTCTCCTTTGAGATTCCCTCACTGCTACCACCCCCATAGGAACTAGAAGCATGCTTTTGTCGTCTAAAATGAAACCAGTTGTATAATTTATAAGATGTAGTATCTCAGGATTCTCCAACCTGGTATCCTCCAGATGTTTGGATTTCAACTTCCATCAGCCTCAGCTGGCATGGCCAGTGATCAGAAATCCTAGAAGTAGTCACCAAAAACATCTGGAAGGCGCCAGCCTATGAAAAGGCCACAGGACCTGACACGAAATGCCTTTTCTGTAATAGCCAAAGGCAGGGCCTGGCACCTCGCGTTCATGGCAGTCTGCAGCTTGGTGAAACAGGACAAGAATTACCTGCTCAGTTATGAGGCAAGATTGCAACAATGGTCTTGCAACACTCGACATAAATAGTGACAATGCAAGAAAACTGTTTTCCCCAAAATTTAATTTAATTTAATTTTAATTTAATTAAAACATTTCTATGCCCTCCTTTCCAACAAGCCTCAGGACAGCTGACAAAATGTAAAAATAGTAATATAAAATACAATTAAAAACATTCAATAATAGCCCAACATAAGCAACAGTTCATAACTAAAGAAGAAAAAGGAAAGAAAGAAAAATATAAAAGTTATTTACCAAAATAACTGGTAAATTTCTACAAGAGGACAAAAAGAATGCTAGAAAGGCATTTGATAAATTTTAAAGGAGCATTTATCTTCTGTGTTAAATGCAAACACTTTAAAATAACATTTTAACAGGTTAACTATTTTTCTAACCTGTGTCGGCAATTCTTCATTTTTGTAATAAGACCAGAAGGGCCTGATAAGGTGGAAGTGACCCGGGGCTCTTCCATTCTCTGAGAGCACCTTCTGAAGTATGTTCTATTTATTTGCTGAAAGGTCAGCAGGTCACTTTCCATGGGAAAGAAAAATGGACACAAGTCTAACATTGCAAATGACAGTATTCCGAAATCAGTGGGGGGGACGGGACACTTCACTTTCCAGGACACTCTCACTAACCTCAAAAGCAGCCATTGTACCAGAAAGAAACTTCTGAGGGAGATTAACTGGTATTCATCCACAGGTTCAGTTTCATCACCAGGGGCTTAAATTCAGATAAAGGATTTTTTATCACACGTGGGCTCCTTGGCTTGCCCGATGGCAGCCTGTGTGTGTTTTTGGTAACAACACTGGGAGTGATCGCTGTGACTGGCAGTGTCAGTACTTTCCCTTCACAAATCGTGATCACAATTCGCCCCAAATATTATCTACTAGAAATTCTTGGTAATGCTCGAAGCATCTGATGCCGTTTGCTGAATTCAGAACACACGTGTTAGTCTTAAAAGTGCCACCAGAATCTTTGTTTTGCTAGAATAGACAAACACAGCTACCTTCTGGGTAAGTCTCTTCCACCTTTTGCTTGAAAGCCGAGTTGAACAGCGAGTTGGCACTAACCGGTTTGCGTCCCTGCTGCTTTTCACTCACCTTTCACGGCAGTTGAGGTCCAGGACACGGTGAGGCATGTCAAGAAAAAGGCTGTGTCCTTGGAGAAGGCCGTGCCAGTGAGTGGTACCTCGGCCGCCACGTGCAAAATGAAAGTCCAGCTGAACCGAGTGGTCGGGGTACTGATGGTCACTAGCGAAAACGATGAGATTCCTGTCCTGTTTGTGTCATAGGTGGAATTTTGGGAAATCTTGCTTAATTAATAAATTAGCAAAACAATGGAGAGAGGGGTGGTGTGTAGATTGCCAGATTCCCTGATTGGGTCCCTTTTTCACTTGCTTATTTCTTGACCTTTCCTGCAACGTGGTCTCAAGCTGGCTACTGAATATTTTTCTGCTGAAAAGCCAAATTCTGGGTGATAGTAAATTTCATAGTCTCTGTCCTTCAGCTAACCTGCTCCAACACATAGGCCACAGGAGAGGTGGGGAAGAAGTTTAACCAATGCTGGCAGCCAGCTCACCTCCAAGGGGAAAGCATTCCGCAACTGGCAGGGCTACCACAGAGAAGGTCCTGTACTGATGGTATTACCAAAAAGGCACCTCTAGAAGAATTTTAGCCACATAGAATCATAGAAGGGTTGGAAGGGGCCATGAAGGCCATCAAGTCCAACCCCTGCTGTTGCAGGACACAAATTCACACCATCCCACTCAGATGGCTGCCCAGTTCGCCTTGAATGTCCCCAGTGTGGGAGAGCCCCCCACCTCTCCAGGCAGCTGGTTCCACTGTCCTATTGCTCTGGCAGTGAGGAAGCTTTTCCTGATGTCCAGCCTGAATCTGGGTTGTCACAACTTGACTTGATTCTTCCTTGTCCTACACTCTGGCATCGGCAAGCAGAGATCCCGACCTTCCCCTTTGTGACAGCCTTTCAGGGACTTCTAGAGGGATTTCATGTCCCCTCTCAGCCTTCTCTTCTCGAGGCTGAACATGCCCAGTTCCCTCAGTCTCTCCTCACAGGGCAGCGTTTCCAAACCCTGGATCATTTTGGTTGCCCTCCGCTGGACCCTTTCTAATTCACCTGCCTCTTTCTTCAATCTTGGTGCCCAGAACTGGACACATGTAGGATGATACAGGGAAAGATGATCTGCAACTTTTCCATAGGGTGGGGATTTCATTTGAAGGAAACAACTGAACGAGGAGAGCTTTTTTCCTTATACTTTCTGAGCTTTCCTCCCTCCATCTTGGGGTGATCTTTCTTTATACTAAAGCTATATATATCATTTTCCCCATCCTTCTTGACTTTTAGATTGTAACCCCCATGGAGCAACACCTGCATTTTGTATAGCACTGTGCACATAAATTATTCTACATAATAGAGAGTTGATAAGAAGGGTAGAAGGTTTGAGGTGACATGGCTCACCTTGAATACCTCCTTTAGGTCTGTGCTGCCTCCTTCGCTGACCCTTCTGTCTTGGCAGCCACCCTCAAACTCAGGAACACTGCAGGCAGTAACGGGGCCGAATACTCAAGTTCTCATGCTGGGCAAGGGTTGAGCTTTTGGAGAAGGAGAGAATAAACCAGACTATACATTTTCTAGAAACCCAGTTCTGGAGTCCAGGACCCTTTAAGGCCACCAGCAAGCAAGAAGCATGATGGAAAGATCTATCAATAACCCAGAACGGAATGAGCAGAGGTCCATTTTTTGGCATGGTAACATTACCTCACAAAATGATTTTGTTCTGTAAATGTTCACCAATCTGCTCTTGTATAAACAACACTCAGGACAACATTTAATTTTATTTCCCCAGGTATTAGTGAAGTTAAGTCTTTGTCAGCCTCAGGAAGCCACGACGTGGGAACTTGAATTTATTAAAAGCTTCCACAGTAGCTCAATCATGCCAAAATAAGACATGGGGATGAGATGGGTCTTAATTTCCCACACAAACTAAACCACATAGAATGCTTTGCATTACAAGGAACAAATCATACAGCAGGGGGAAAAGTCTATTTTCTCTCCAATCATGATGAGGACTGCAGCAAAATTCAAAGGGAAAACCAAAACCCGAGTCCTAACTAGACCACAGACCTTACCTCCTGTTAAATGGTGTCATTTTCCACCGATCTTTAAGGCGGCAATTTCAGAGGGAGCAGAAATAGGGGTTGGGGGACAAGGCTGGATAAAAGAATGTCAATGTCTTCCCTCTTGTGGTCTAAGGAAAGGAACGTGTGTCCAGCAGTGTTGCTTTGGGTGCTGCCTCCCCTGGGCAAAATAATTCCTGAGCTCCAGACCCCCTGCTTAAGTACTAAAGGTTTCCTCGCTATGACATGCCTGGGACCCCCAGCCCCATGGCAACTGTGGGTGTGCAACAAGATCATTGTGACAAGTCCACTCTTAGCCCACAGTGACATCTTCTGCCTCATAATGAGGTCCACACCGCACTTGTGAGCCAGTTTCAAGTCTGTTGTAAGGTGAAAGGCTTCCAACCAAAGCAAGCTAGAAATTGGGTTTAGGGGCTGCATGGGGGGGGGGGGGGGGGCGTTAATATGCATGTATTATTAATTCCTGTGGTTATTCTATTCTGCTTTCCAAGAAAGCTGCCCCCCCACAGCAGCATACAATACGATTTCAAAATGCAATTTACCATTTGCTAGCGATCTCACAAAAATAGGAATTGTTAGGTGAAGCTGTGGTATTTAAACCAGTGCAAAATCTGTTGTGTAATATAAAAACAGTGGCTATTGGGTAGTCTGTAAGTATATTAGATAAGAATGATGATTAGTGTATCAGTTACAATTACTATAGAAAAATTAGTATGATTGTATTGTCTTTTATTGGTTGCAGCTTGCTTTTGGACTATCTGATCAGAAGTAGGAAGTAAGTTTCATAAACATCTAATAAAAAGGGACTGCTATTTGAACTGATTGATCTGCATTTTTATTGATAAGGGTATGGATTCGTTAACTCAAAGGTGTGAATCAACCAGTGTAGCGTGTTGTTGGCATGTTGGATTGTCCCAGATTTAAGATCTCACACGGCCATGAAGCTTACTAGGTGCTTGTGGACTACCTCAGAGGGTGGTTGTGGAGAGGCAGGGCCTGGGGAAGATGACCCAATCAATGTTTTATTTTTGCCTTTCTGCCTAGCCTTGTGGTTGTGGGAGGGCTGGAGTCTTGATGCATCTGCTTTCATGAATGGGGACGGGGGGAGTTAAAAGAGTCCCTTTGGAGGTGGAGGCACTCTGCATGTGCTTAATGGCACTCTTGCCTTACATTTAAGAAAGCTGTCACAGAAGGATAAATGGTGTTTGGTGAATGCTTAGAGGTATCTTGCCCACATCCTTGTTCAATGGTGGGAAAACAAACATTGAATATGCCTGGGGAGATTTTTGCCCTTTTTATCTTCAGCCTCTTCATGAGATGGATAGGACTTTTGAGACTCTTAGAAGCACTTTAAATTCTTATAGAATAACCATTATTCTGTTTGGGGGAGAAACTTATTTTGTACCCTTTGAGAAAGATACTTGGACCTCACACATCTTTGTTTTCTTTTAAGATTTGTTCTCTTGAGCACTCTGTATATACTCAGAGGCATTTTGCCCTTGGCATCCTTCAGAGAACCTTTATTCTGTTGCAGGGAGGGAGAAATGCATTCTGTGCATGCTCAGAGACACTTTGCCCCCTCCCCCCCGCTCTTTTGCTTTCATTACAGCAGCACCATGACCTGCACTTTTGTGCTACTGCACGAAATAGGCTCTCTCTTCAGAAGAAAGAGGTTGGGAGTAGTGGTTACAGTGCCAAACCCGGGCTGGTGAGACCCGGATTCTAGTCCCCATGAAACTCACTGGCTGACTGTGGGCCGGCCGTGGACTCTCAGCCTAGACTTCCTTCCAGAGTCCTTGAAGGGATAAAACGGAGACAAGGAGGACTGTATAAGCTGCCGCGGGTTCCCTGCAGGGAAAAAGGTATTATAATTAAGGAAAAATCTTTTCGTGTAAAAGCCAGTGCATTCTGTGCATGCTCAGAGGCAACGCTTCCCAAAGGTGAGCAGCCACACAATCTCCTTCAGTGGAGCCGAGGCTAAACCGGGACTGAATTAAACGGGCATGTTGTGTTGTGTTGTGTAAGGGGAGGAGTCAGACACGCCCACATCTCCTCCTTTCCGGAGATTGGTGACCGGGCCTCGCGTAGCTGGTCGCCCGCCACGGGCACCGCGAGGCCGGCGGGCGGAGCCAGGCGAGGCCGGGGCCTCATCGGGGCCTAGTAGGCCTCCCCCCTTCCGGCGCGTGCGCGGACGGAGCGCTCGAGGAAGCGGCGGCGATGCTGGCTGCCTGTTTGCGGGGCGCCGCGCGCGCGGTCCTGCCGGCTGCGGCGCCTCCGCAGCGGGGCCTGCAGCTCTCGGCCCCACTGGTGAGGGGCGCGGGGGGCGCGGGGCTCCGGCCCTTGCCATCGCCGGGGCTCCAGGAGGCCTTTGCGGGGGGAGGACGCGGCCGACCCAGCTCATGGGGGTTCCAGTGGGGCGAAGGCGGCCGGAACTGGCGGGAGGGCCCCGGGCAGGGACAGGCAGCCTGACTGCCGCCGCGTGTTTCAGACTACAACTTCCATCAGCCGCAGGGGAGCGCTTGACTTTCGTGCAGAGACCCGTGAAGGGAAGCACGGAGGGCGCAAAAAGACGACGAAGAGGTGGCCTTGGGCTTGGTCGCGTGATGGGCTCGGCGGCTTTTAAAGGAGCACATGGGGCGGGGAACATGGGGGGAAAGCTTGCTTAGGGGTGGGCTGGTTTGGGGGAGCAGCTACAGGTGTGCTTGAGGAGACACCTGGGAAGCCAGCGCCACACCTTGGGGATGGGGAGTTAAGGAAACTGTTGGGGAATGAAAAGCGGAGTTGTTGGGTGGCAGGCAGAGGGGAGGGAGGTGTGTGTGTGTGTGTGTGAGACTCGGGGGTGATTGTGTAGCTATATTCACCGGAGAAGCATATAGGGAACAGAGAACATGTAGGAGAACTGGATTGTTCTGGAGAGTAATATTGGTTTAATTTTATCATTGTACACAGCTTTATGGAAACACAACAAAACTTAACAAGTATAGCAAACGTAACAAAAAGACCCTGATCCTGCCCTCCCGGGCATTTCTGGGCATAGGTTTGTGACTTGTCTTAAGCTTATTGGCAACTTGGGGGCAAAACTTCCAATTCTCCCCGTTGAAAAACCGAATCTCCCTGGGATTTCTGCAGCTGTGGAGTCTCTTTTATGTGCTCTGCAAATAGGGAATACAGTGGGTGGAGGGGAAACATGTAAGTCAAGAGAGGTGGGGAATATCCAGAAAGAGATGGAGTGTGCTGGACTCATAACAAAAGTTCTCTGTTTTTTGCTCTTCAGGGAACAGTCATTGTGGAGCGTTGGTGGAAGGTGCCCCTGGCCAAATTAGGGTGTAAGCCTCGGATCAAGCACCGTAGGTTTCGTGTCTACCGTTTGGTGGAAGACACCAAACACAGCCCAAAGCAGCCACTGGAGCTCATCCTGACACAGACTGTGGAAGGTGTGTTTCCTCTTTCTGCCCTCACCTGGTAGGGCTTCATTGTAGATCAGGTTCCATCTTGTTCACCCAATCCTTCTTCCAGTTTTATTCACCTGTGGGATGTGCTTGTGTTGTTCCCGTCCTGCCATGCTGCAACGGAGTGCTCTGTGTACTTTTATGATTGCCAAAGGGGACTGACATGCTTTTTTTGAAGATTTTCTAGTTTGCTTGATGAGTGGAGATGTACATGATTTGGTTTCTTATGTGGAAAGAAAGGAGAGCACATGCCTATGGCTACCCAGACTGACTTCATATTGAAGGTGCTAAACTGAACCTAGGCTGTAATGTTTTAGATCGGAAGTAGGGGCTTACATTATAAAATCTACTCTGATTTTTATTTCAAATTAAAATCTTGTGTGATTTTGCTGGTTACATGAAGGGGACCTTTCCCATAATAGAGATTTCAAACTGCAGCTACACAGTTTTAGCATATCTTCATGGCCCTGTGTTCCAGGAACACCCCACTTCTTTAAAAAAAAAAAAAAAAAAAAGGATAAGGGAAAGCACCCACCTAATGTATAGCATAGTAGCATAAGCACACACCTAATGTATAGCATAGTAGCATAAGCACACACCTAATGTATAGCATAGTAGCATAAGCTGATATGAGTCAAGTATGTAAAGGGATAATGCCTCTTAATATTGGCTGTACTGTATCAAGAAACTTTCTACATGCTTCATTTGCAGATGTGGGAAACCGTGGCGATACCGTCTTTGTGCCCAAGTCATTTGGTCGCAACCAGCTCCTGGCCCATAACAAGGCCGTTTATGCCTCCCCTGAAAACAAGAAAATCTTTGAGGAGGAAAACCGAGTGAGTAGCGTGGGGGTGCTGCCTGCTATCCAGGCACAGCTGCAATGTGCTCCGAGCAACGTGGACGATGGCCTGTTCTTGACCTCATGTAAGTCTTCTATTTTTCATTCCCTAGTTACGCCTGGAAGGGAAACTGCCAAAACTCCAAACCCACAGCGGCATAAAGGTGAGCTGGCGCAGATCTTGAGCATAAGCAGCGTTGTTGGACAGGGCAGGTTGTGCGGTGCAGTTTGCTTGGTGGTGTGGCTGGGACCCCTACCCGGACTTCCAGGACAACTTTTTTGCTACACATCTGTCTCATGCTTGGCTATTTTATGTATTTATGTTCGGCAACTTTTAGTCTTCCTCTTAACGGACAGGGTCCCAGGCAGGTGGGTTGCTAGCTTCACAAGCCCATCCCTCGTGGTTCTGCATTTAATCTGGATCACAGCTTGTTAAAGCTCAGTTGCAAAACCTGAATTCACTATCCAGAGTCAACTCTGGGATGTGTGAAGCAGTTATGAACCCAGTAGCTTCTAAACGGAGTGTGGGTTTGCTGGGGGCGGCGACCGGTCTGTGGACTGCTTTTATTTGCCCGTGCCGTCGCCTCACTTTCATTAAACACCAACAGGAACAAATCCATATGAGAAGCCTGGCAAGGGGGCAGATGACGGACTGGTACGGCAAAGGTGGCGCCGTCTGTTGTAAGAGTCCCAGCAGCAGAGTCTCTCTCTCGGCGCCAACGCGTTGGCAAACCTGACCCAGAGGCTTTTAGAACGGTCCCAGAGTTTTGCCTGACCTATGCCAAGCAGTGGTTGTGAAAAGCCAGGGCATGTGCCTTTCCTTTGTTCTGGTCCCCTGACGGAGTTATCAGGATTGCTGCAAAGAGGCTGCTTTGTAGATCGCGGTTAATTCTCCTTGCTGTTAAACAATCCTTACTGAACGGCCATGATGCTCAAGTGCGGGGCAGGTCTTTCTGCATACCCGGGTCCCTGCTGTTGGTTTGCCTCAGTTGCTGATGACAGTATTGATGTACAACCTGAGTGTTGTGTTGCTGGCAGGCTGTCCTCTTTCTAAGGCTCTTTGAATTATAGGGAACAAATCACTGACGTAATAATTCTCTGTATTTACGGTAAGATGTGTGTGCATGTAGCACAACATGACCTAGATGCTGTTGTGTCATGAATTTCAAGCACATACCTTCCTCTCTTCCCTGCCGATCCCGGGAGCTGGTTACAAGCCCGTAATTCTAAGATCTAACTCCAACAATAGACTGGAACAGCAGGTTGGCCATTTCAGTGAAGGGAGGGTGTTTTTGTCTCTTGAGCCAGCAAGATTAGGCGGGCCTGATCCGGTGGCAAGCTAGGCTCATTTTAAAGGAATTCTGCCGTTCCCTCTTCCATAGACCGTCCGGTTCCTGCGAAACTGCACCCTCGAGATCGGCGTCAATGACTGTGAACAGTGGGAGCTGACCAAGGAGATTGTGGCCCGCCATTTCCTCCGCAATGTGAGTGCCACCATTTTTACACGACAGTTTTGGGCTGCTGTGCAAGCTGTGGAGAAGTTGGCCGAGTTAGCAGCTCTGTTATACTGAATCAGGCCAGCTAGCTGTCTGCGTTACTAGGCAGGGTTACCCACTTCCTGTCCATTGGCAGAGCCAGACGTTCCCCAGATCAAGCACAGTGTGTGTCCTTTCGCTGCAGTGGCAGTTTTGGCAACAGCTAGCCGTGAGGGGAGAGGGATAGACCTGGCCCTTGCCCCGTTTTAGGTGGATCATCATGTGAACACTAGGTTTCTTACTTCCAGCTCCAGGTTGTGGTGCCCCTGCATACGCTGAAACTGCCAGACGAGCCCATTACAAAACTGGGGGAATACTGGTGTGAAGTTACGGTAAGACCATCTTCTAGCTTGTGTATTGAGCCTGGGACTTTTAGCCAGAGAGGCTTTCGGACAGTCCGCGTTTTCTTAGGACTCTCGTTTGACCCAGTTGAAGGGGTATGTGGTGGGCTCACAGACACAGATGCAGATTAAAGTGGATCTGACTGGGAATCAACCATGAAAGACAGTGATCTGTCAAAGACAACTAGCTGTGGCAGCAAACGGAGCCTCTGCGTTCAGAGGCAGTGTACCCTTGAATGCCAGTTTCTGGGGGTGCAAAACAAGCAACAACCGTGCCTTGCTTGTAGGCTTCCCCGCAGCATCTGGCTGGCCAGTCCTGAAGATGAGAGCCTAGGCTGGATGAATCCTCCAGGTGAACCAGTGGGGTTCTCGTTCTGTTCTGAAGGTACAGAGAGGTGCACTTTAGTTAAGTGCCTTTATAGGTAATAAAACGCCTGAGTGATGCGAAGGCAGAAGTCTCAGTTACCGCGCGTCGAAGTCTGTTTCCTCTGTTTCTGCTTGTTGTTTGGGTACATAAGCCAGCAAAATGCCTACCTGGTACTTGTGCAAACTGTTCATGTCGTGTGTTTTCATACTTATTCTTCGACGTCACCATGATCGTTGCAAACTTCGCCCTCTCTTCCCTTCGTGCAAAGATGATTTTGTTGCTGGTCATGCGGCTAGGGTTGAAATAACGCCGGGGCTTGGAGCAGTGGTTGCTGTTGCTGCAGAAACACAGAGACTCCCCGTAGCAGTCACTCTCCAGCCAGGAGTGCTTCGAATACCTTGCACCCCACCCGTCACAACCATTATTCATAGGGGAAAGACAATTTTTATTTATTTATTTATTTTTGGATTTATATCCTGCCTTTTTCCTACAAAGGGCTCAAGGCAGCTTCCATCATTCTCCTCCTCCATCTTACCCCCACAACAACAACCCTGTGAGGTAGGTTGGGCTGAGAGGCTGTGACTGGCCCAGAGTCACCCAGTGGGCTCCACGGCTGAGCGGGGACTTGAACCCGGATCGCCTGAGTCCCAGGCCCAGGCTCTGAACCACGACACCACACTGGCGCTCACAATGAGCAAGACGCTATGGGTGTCATCTTTCCCTCTTCTGCTTTTCAGCCTTTCTTCCAGGTTCTTAGGGGAGATCCTTCTAGTGGGAGGATGGTAGGAAAAGTCAAGAACCAGCTGTTGTTGTCGTGAGTCGCGAAGTCGTGTCCGACCCGTTGTGACCCCATGGACAACATTCCTCCAGGCCTACAATGGGATTAAACACCCCCCTCCATCCCCCTGCAAATATGAACTTCCACTCTGCAACAGGCTAACACTGGCTCCACACTGGCAAATACGAGGAACTCCAGGGCTGAAACTCCGGGTTCCCAAATGTTGTCACCTTTCCCTCCTACAGCTTTTAGGCAGCCCCTTCTTTTGCAAGAGGAGGAGGTGGGCAGATAGGTGGGATATTTATTATATACGCCAGTGCCGCCTTTTTCCTGAAAACGCCATGGTGGCAAATGGATGTTCTATGTAAAAGACAACTGGTTTGGGACAGTCCAGTACAAGGGGCCACACCACCTTTTCTCCTGCACCCGGCTGCTTGATTGTCTTTGTCTTCACTCTAGAGAGGGCAGGGCTGTCGTCCCAGTGCCTCTCCATCTCTGCCTTCTTGTACATTGCAGGTAAATGGCATCGACACTGTCCGGGTCCCCATGTCAGTGGTGCAATTTGCGACGCCCGTGAGTGAAAGCTACAGGTCTTGGCTGGCCGGTCAAGAGCTAGAAGCCACACCTGAGCCATAATGCAGGATGCCCTCGGAAGTCCCAAAGGAGAATTATGGGAAGCTCTCTCAAATAGCCAGAAAGATGGATACAAGCTAGCTGTATCTGCAGCTCCAGCAATGGAGCCCATTGTCCCATTTGGGTTTGGACAGAATTCTCTCTGCAAGCTGGGCTCCTCATATTTGAGGAGGGAGGAAGGGAAATTATCAGAAGGGAAAATGTAGTTTTCTCCTGTCGTACACCATAGAAAAAAATCACCGTCTCTCACAAATGGCTTGTCCTCAGGTGGAAGGATAACTCCAGCACCTGTTCCATGATGGTTTCTGCTTCTTTCTCTCCCAAAGAGCAGGACATTTCCTTGCAAATAAAAATGTTTCTGTGTCAAAAATGTTCTTGTTGTGTTGAGGAGCTTGGTGATCCCCTGTTCTCCAGCTGGGGAGGACATAGAAGGAGTGGCTATTAAAACACTCCTCATCTCCGAGCTCTTAATGTAGTTAGGTAGATCTATATTGTAATGTTCTGAAAGGATTTTGTGGTGGGGACGGAGTCTTTGGCGTTGACGGATGAGCTCTGGTGCCTTGCTTGTCACAGCGGAACAGGCACAAGGGTCTCTGCTTTGCCGTTGGTTGAGCTTCCTCTGACCCAAAGTGCCATTGGCCTAACTAGAGGGGCAAGACGGGCAGGATGTCCTAGGAACCAAGTCCAGGAAGCAGCCACCCAGGAACAGAAGGTTGGAAGAGGGTGTTGAAGCAGTAAGGAGAAGGCCTGAAGAAGGAGTTGCAAAGACGGGAATGGATTAAGAGCCTTAGCATGGAGGAAGGCTGACTCTAATGTAAAGACACCAGCCACAGTAGAAGCTGAATAGTAATATTGTTAGTGTTCTTATCTGCTCAAGAGGCCTCACATGGTCTCCCTAATTCCCATAACTGATTGCAGAATTCTACCAAGCAACATCTTCCTTTTTTTTAAGTGAGAACTGTGCAGCACTGACTTGCTTCGCCTGTGAAGGCTGCCAGATCGGCTTCCTCAGTGCCAAGTGCCCGAGAGCTCAGCTGTCGAAAGCAGGTGGGCTGCTGAGCTTGACCCCTGCGGATGCATTGAGCCATCTTGGAAGGCAGGCTGACTGGAAGACCATGCCGCGGAGGAGGAGGCGATGCAAAGAGGGACCCACACAACTTCCACATCAAGCATGGAGAAATGCTTTGCCTGGCAGAGATGGCACTGGCAGTTTTCGCCGGGCGACGCCGGAGCAAAAGCCTGCAGACCTGCTGGTGCAGGTTGGTCCAGTGCTAGCCATCTCCTGTCTTTCCAAGCCCTTAATTCTCTGCCATTCACCTTCAGTGTTAATGATGCCATTTAAGCGTACACTGGAACAATTTGCACCTCGTGATGGCCAGCTGGTGGGGTAGCTCCTACTTTCAGAGCCAACCCTTCAGATAATTGATATGCCTCGGCTAGTTCTTCTCTTAAAAAAATACTTCTTCCTCCCTTGAGGGAAACTTGAGCTTTCCCTGCTTTAGATTTGAAGCGCTTGCATGGCCTTCAGACAGAAGTGTGGGCACTCCGGCCCCACCCCCCCGTGTCCCCGTGGGGAGAGTAACGGGAAAGGTTTTTCTTTTTTCTTTTTTGCTTTTAAAAGCAAAGTGTGAAAAGCTGCCAAAAGTCTCATTAAGCCCCTTATATGATAACGCTTGTTGGGCGTGGGCAGGAGAAAGGGGTTCTCTGTCGGAGGAAAAAGACATGAATATTCACGGGTGCGCTCAGCGCTTGCCGCAGGAGGCCCATCAGTTATGGCAAGGTTGACATCCCGCCTCGTCAAGGTGACTTCTGAGATAATGCTGGAGGATGCCGCTGCCAAGAGGACGGGAAGACACTTCGAAACGTGGAGAGTGGCAAAGAGCGGGTGTGCTGGTGTCTCAAAATGCAGCCTTTTCATAGTGGGCTTCTGCAACAGTTCCCGGGACTGAATAGGTATTGGAAGTTATCTAGAAGGGTCGCAAATACAAGCATCTGGCTGGCCCGTACGCATCTCAGGTAATGAAACCTGTCCCTTAGGCTTCTGAAAAGGTTCGGTTCAGTTGGTGCAAACTGCTCACTTCCATCTGGCTCTCCTCCGACCCTTCCCTCAAAATGCAGCCTTTTCATAGTGGGCTTCTGCAACAGTTCCCGGGACTGAATAGGTATTGGAAGTTATCTAGAAGGGTCGCAAATACAAGCATCTGGCTGGCCCGTACGCATCTCAGGTAATGAAACCTGTCCCTTAGGCTTCTGAAAAGGTTCGGTTCAGTTGGTGCAAACTGCTCACTTCCATCTGGCTCTCCTCCGACCCTTCCCTGTCACTTAGCAGGGCTGCATTGTCTGTGCAAACGGGGGTCTGGACCTCAATTCCGTTCTTTTCCACCCTGCCTGCTCCACTCGTACTCTAAGTTGGTTTGATTCAACTAGAAGTAAGATGTGTTTGAGAAAGCTCGGGCAGTTGTGAGGGGTCAGCAGACTGCACGAATGAGCATAATCTCCATCCCTTTTCCTAAATCCCCCAAACTAGCTCCCAACTTTTTTTTGAGCCAAAGAAACAGCACCATCCTTCAGGCTAGTCAAAACTGTGTGACCCTCTCCTTCTCAACTCCACAAGGTGGCAGCAAAGAATCACACCTCTGCATAATTCACAGGTCCTCTACCTCAGGCCAGTCATTGCTCTACCCTATCTGGCAAGGTTAGCCCCTTGGAGCCAGTTCTATCAAACTGCAGTACCTTATCCCTTTGCTCATCTCTCGCGTGCCGTATCCGCTGCCTAATGCAGAAGCCCAAAGTCAGTGCAGGCCGTGGTGAAGTCTAGGTGGATGAAGTGGGGCGGTTATTTTACCTGAGGTATGAGCAAGACAAAACCTAGCAGATTCTTTGGATATTCACGGAATTAGAAGAGAGGAAAACCCTTTACTACATACACAGTCTGTTCTGCAGCCGTGTTTGAAATAGTGTTCCGGTGGTTCTTGTCTCGAAAAGAACTTGTAGAGCTGGGGAAGACACGGAGAAGGAAAAAGTCAAGCGGAATAGTGAGGGGGCTGGGATGCCTTTCCGAGGGGGAAGGCCCAAGCAGCCTTCCCCAACCTGGGGCTCAGCGGCTGCGTTAGGCTAAAACTCCCATTATCCCCAGCTGGCAGGAGTTGTTATCCAGCACAATCTGGTTTGTTTCCCATGAGGCACAGGAAGCAGCCATGTTTGCTAAGCCTACCTAGCCTCCCCGTTCCAAAGGTTCCCTGTGCCATGGGATTTTCTCCACCCTTACCGATCGCCCTGAGCCGGATACTATTGCGGCGGTTGCATCTTTTTCAAAGATGCGTGGGAGCCATGATCGTGCATGTGCCAAGGTTCGTGCAAGATCACCGTGGACTCCACTACGCCCCGTACTCCGCTGCAACCAAGTCAGTGAAGCTGACAGAACTGCACGGGTTCCCCCTTTGCCCACCACCTTTATGGCTTTCCGTGCATCTAATTTTAAACTGGAAGCCTCTCCAGGCAGAGGCTTGTCCTCTTGTGCGTTGTAAAGGACTGTGCATATTGACCTGAATAGTAGCTGCTCCTGCATTTTGGAAAGACCTGTGGACCCGATGAAAACTGCAGTCGTGCCCATCCGCCTTCCCCAGCTTGATGCCTTCCAGATGTCTTGAAAGAAAGTATGTACATGCCGCCACTTTTTTTTGCCAAGGTACAAACCAGCTGGTCTGTAGCTCCTTGTGAGTCCACTGTATCTTTAAAAGGTGCCACGCAGCACACCCTGAATCCCCCAGCTGATTGTCGCGGCTGCAAAGAAGATGGAACCTGCGTCACCCCTTTATTGCAATTCCGGATTCAGGTACGTGGAGGAAGAGAGGCGAGAGCAAGCACAGGACTCGGGGAGTGGAAAGGGCCCCTTGTTACGGCGGGAAATCCAAAACGGAGCAAAGAACAGCAGGAACTGGAGTTTGATGACAGCGGCAAGGTGACTCCATTACAGGGCCTTGTTCCTTTCCTCCATCATCTGATGCTGAATCTTCTTGGGGAGTTCTGGATTGGTAAAATAGTCTGAAACGAGAAGGGAGGGGGAAGGGTCAGGCAGGGAGTCTTCTGGCACAGGATTCGGCCATGTGAGGGCCACGCTTCAGTCCATGGCACTCGAGCACAAAGGGCTCCGGAGGGCAACCTGGCCGAGGGAAGCCTCGAATGGCCATCCTTCAAATGTAAGTTACGACGAGGGAGAAGGGAAGGCTGGCCGGCCCTCGGTGTGCCTCGCCCACCCCCATTTGACCGAACAGTCGCATCTGTACGGGGTGTTCTCTCTCTCTCTCTCTCTGATCTGACAGTGAAGTGCAAGTGCAGCAGCCGCTCCTGTTGCCAGAGATGAGTTTGCCTTGTTGGCATGGCTCCTATTTCTTGACATGTGCCCTGCTGGGAGCATCCTCCCATTTCTTATTGCTAAAGGGGAGCCACGCAAGTGTGGCTGCCCCCGTCGTACTCGGCAGAGCCCCTCTTGGTTCCAGGTCCCAAAGAGGCGCATAAACATGGCACTCATCCTGGCCCCCTCTGGATGTGATGGCCCTGCCGGCGACCGAAGACTCGCAAGGAGCTGAGGTATTTAGGAATCGGGGATGCTGTGGCTGCATGCTACAGCACAAGCCTGCGCAGGTTGGACCAGATAATCGCCAAGGTCCCTTCCGATTCTGCCTGTGCCCCTGAAGAGCACTGCGCTGGGGCAGGCTGCCCTGCATGGGCGCTCTGGACCTTCTGTGCACCCCAGGCAAGACATTTCCTCCATCATCCCACATGCCTCACAGCCAAAGCCTTGTATTTGAAAAGGCTCGTTTTACGTGCTCAGCCTGGCAAAGCTCAGTTAAAACTCTCTGCTCCACACCATACAGGTGCGTGGCTCACTTTCTCAGAGATCAGTGCTCTTCCTGGAGAGGCTTAGAGGCTCCTTAGAAAAGCTGCTCCCTCCATCTGTGAACCCCATCCCTTAGGTACGTGAGGGGGTGTCACACGGAGGTGGGGAGGGGCCTGTTCTCCCCTGCAGAGGAGGGCAGGACGCATCCCAATGGAGCCAAGCTCAGGGAACCCAGGTTCCATTTGGATGCCAGGAAGCACTTCCTGGCAGTTAGGACCCCCAGGGTATGGAATGGGCTTCCACGGGAGGTGGTTGAGGCCACATCAGGGAGGGTGTTCAAGGATAGGCTGGACATGCACATGGTGGGCATGTCGTGAGTGGAGCCGGCTGGGGCTGGGGGTCAGACTAGATTGCCCAGGAGGCCCCTTCTAACTCCCTCTGTTTCTCTCTTCTGCCACATGCTCTCTGGCTAGCTCTGGGTAGAAATACCTGCTTTGCGCCCATGTCCTGGGTGTATGGAGGGCACCTGTACATGGATTTACTCACCCCTTGCAATCATGACAACTCCAGAATTTCAGTCTTTTCCTGTCCTACTCAGAGGTGTTGGGGAAGGAACCTGGGAGCAGTTTTCTCCAGAAACTGATCTGTGAATATTTTTTGCATCTATCTTATGTTCAGAGAAGTTGGAATGTCTGTGTACGTTCTGTGACTCTAATACCGCCTCAGCCAATCAGAGGCAGCTTCTGCTAGTTGCAGAGGTACCTTTTGAGCCTGGATTTCTTGTTATTTTCTTGAGTGTGCAAAGACTACATTGTACCACCCAAGTTGGATGTGAGGGAAGGCATCCTAATGCACAAGATCATCATAACTCCTACCTGCAGCAAACTCTCGTATATTTTCTGGTCTTTGCATCAGGACTTCTCTGGAAATAACAGGAAGTAGGGAGAGAGTTAGAGAAACAGACTTTCAAGAGTTTTTAAAATGGTGGTACTCCCCCGCCCCCGTACACGCAGTGCAATTTTGTAGGTCCTTGTGAAAAATACACAAGACAAATTGGTAAATTACTCCTTCCTTATTGGGAATCAATAAGCCAATTAGCAACCAAGGAGAAACATTTAATTTACATCTGCATCTGCCTTTGGCGGGAAGGGGGCTGAGGAGGTTTTATATTAAGAACAAGAGTATACAACTGTCAAAGAGCCGAGAAAATATTTATAACAATTAAAAATACCCCATCTGAATTATGCAGCTCCTTTATTGGAAATCGATAAAGCAATTAGCAGAGGTGCTGGGAAACAAACCTCCAGGTTGGGTGGAAGAAATTGGAGAAAAAGTTCATAACAATGAAGAGCTGCCTCATAAAATCACCCTCTGCAACCTTGTAAATTAAACTATTATAGTAGTGGGTAGTTCTCAGCCACTGCACACTCACCTGACCACGAGCACTGGCATCTTACTAGTGCCTTTCATGGAAGCAAAAAGTTCCCGACTGTTCAAATGAAATCACACGATCAAATCCTCCTTGATCTGTTGCACTTCAAAGCGCTCCCAGTGAGAGATGATAAAAAAGTCTCCATTGTCTAAAAGCTAGTACCTCTGCGAAAACGGTAGCCCACAATATTCATCCCTGTTGCGTCCGTTTTCTACAAACTGGACAGTTTTGGCGAGACATTGTGTTGTTTCTATAGGATCTTTAAACACATGATTCCCTTTCCTGCAGCCAAAAAACAGTCCAGGGATCACTTGGTTAAGGCATTTTTTGAATGAAAATTCTTCCCATATTGCAGAAGTCTCTTAAGTGACACTTCTGCCCCTTCAAAACCTACGAGACAATGAATAAAGAAAGCAAACCCCAAAGGAAAACCTTTCTCTCCACCTTATTGCTGAACTGTTCTCCTCTGACAATAGGTGATTTAAAGTTTATCCATTTTCTTTTGTTTGCGTATACCTTCTAGACATTAGAATAGCGATTCTTCAAACTGTGTTATTCATATTTGGAATTTTGAGAGAATTTCAAGATGTGCAAAATGGTTGCAAGAAGGGCTTGCCCATTCAGAAGGTGTGAGAAACGTACCTGAGAAATCCTGATAGAAGTAGCTGCACTTCCTTGTGGGAACGTAGGTATTTTTCATTTGCGATCCTGGTGTTTATCTAGAAATTAAAGGGCACAACAGAACTCAAGGAACTGGTGGAGGCGACCAAATTCTGGCTCTTCAAATGTTTGGCTTACTGACTGACAGGTAGAAATTTTTGGTTGTGGGGGGGGGGGATTTCCAGGTTATGAATTTATATGTTATGTTTGTGTAAGATCCCTTGGCGTGTTTATCTTTTTTTACATTTTGCTGCTTTTCTGTATTTTATTTCTTTTAAGAAAGCAATAACTAAACAAAAAACAACTGGACAAACAGCAGAACGAAATACCCCAAGCTTTATGCAGCAAATGCATATGCCAACCTGAACAACAGCATAAACAATAAGCAGCTCAAGAAATTGATCCATTTGTAAACCACAACAAAAGGGATCAGCCGTAAGCTGGTTCCAATTAAACATTAATTTTTGGTACCAAAAATGTAAACACTTCATGTTTTGATTCGATAACCATCTTTCTTAAGGAAGATGTGAATTGTGTCCTTTTTGCTTACCTGGAAAAAAGACCTACCCAGATCTATCTTAAAGAGATCTTGTCCCTACCTTTTTTTACTTAGAAAGTCTATGAAAACATATTCTAGAAGGTTCTCCAAAAAGAGATCAGTTTGCTGCAGTTTAAGGTGCAATCCTATGAGAGCTTAAGGGGGCGGGGTGGGGGGAGCCTGCGTTGGCCAGGACCTATAGGCATTTTTTCTGTTTAAACTTGCCTAGGGTTTCCTAAATAAACTCTCTCTGTCTCTTTTCAGTCCTGTGCATGTGCACTCGTCACTGTTCTGGCTATTATTTCTCATTTAGGCTTAGCGCTAGATAAAGCGACCTATGCAAAGGAACAAGAAACGCAGCTTTCTTTCCTCCTCTGCCTCCAGCCCAGAAACAATTCCTTGCAGGGGCGACCCAAACCCCCAGCATGCACTGGGCAAAGAAAATGGGCATGATTGCAAGAATGCATTTCGGTGGGGGGGGGGTTGGGGGGTCGTCTTTTCACAGGGCCGTCGTCCTCCCCCTTTTCTCTTACCCACCTTGAATTCCAGGAGCTTCTCTTGCTGCTGTGCGTGGAGGGAGCCAACATCCAGGCTCTCCAAGCCTGACCCCACGTCAACCATCTTGCCGGCTCCTTCTGCAGGCAGGCAGGCAGGCAGGCAGGCAGGGAGGCCGCCGGCACGCGCGCTGTTGGCGTTGCCATGGGGACGGTTGCTACCCGCCGCCTTGGCCTTGCCCGCCCAGGCGAGCCGAGCCGGGCCCAGGAGCGGCGGGCACCGCCATTTTCCTGTCTCGTGCCAGCCTGCCCCCCAGTCATGCCTCTCTGGGGAGGGAGCTGAGTCCCCCCTCCTTGCCTGAAACTAGGGAAGGCCTCTGCCCCTCGTAAAATAAGACCCTCTCCACGCTGGAACTTCACCAAGTGTCCTCCTTGGTGCCTGCAGATTTGCACCCGCCGCAGCTTCACTTGCTCATGCTGTTTGCAGGCGTTGTCAAGCATCCTCAACTACACAAATGACACACGCGTGTTCTGCAGCGTGGTGTTTTTGTACACTTAGGACGTGGAGCCGAATGATGAACTACGACAGTTCTGTTAGCTCAGTGGCCTTGCTCAGCTTGGTGCCCTGCAGCTGCTTGGGACTGCCTTGCTCATCCTGCTGGCTGGGGATGATGGAAGCTGTAGTTAGTCCCGGATGTCTGAAGGGCACTGTGCTGTGGGCAAGGCTGGCTAAGAAGAATCCAGAGTTTGCCCCGTGGAACATGCGAAAGAGCCCTGGGGACATTGCATTGCTAGCTGCGGGTGGCACCAGGCAATCTGGAGCCCGCAAGCCATATTTGACCCACCAAAGCCTCTGTCTCCTGAGAAAGCTTTTGTTCTGTCATGAGCAGAGCCGGCTGGAGCTGGGGGTCAGACTAGATGGCCCCAGAGACCCCTTCTGACTTTCTGTTTCTCCCCACTGCCCCCTTCTTCCCCGCAACACCCGGCTCATGCATGGATTGTGGCAGAGCATTGATCCTGGTAAGGTATGTTTTCTGACAGCTTGCTTCCTTTTCCTTATCTTTAAAAAAAATATATTCTTCTAGCTTGCCCCATAGAAATCCCCCAAGAGGAGCTTTTCCCAGTACGGGGCAAAGTGCTTGAACAGGTTCATCTGCTACATTGCTGAATCAGAGAAACAAGAGGCCATGCAGAACGAGTGGGCACCAACCTGGATGGCCTTCTGGCTCTAGATTGGCCCATAATTTTATGAGGCCCCATAATGTGTCTTTGTTTTCTTAAGACTCTCTCTCTCTCTCTCTCTCTCTCTCTCGCGCACACACACACACACACGTACGTTGTTTCTGCCATTCATCCGGCTTTCATTCTCATTTATTCTTTGCATTTGTGCTGTGTTGGCACCTCAGTCAGCAAATGTCGTTCTTGGAATATTCTCTTAACCATATTTACTTATTTACTGGGGTGTGTATAAACTTCCTTTCATCCAAAGATAGCAGTGCACAGTAAATATAAGCAGAAAGCATCAGGCAAACACAACATGCACTGAACTGTTTTTTAAACTGTTACTGTTGTATTTATTGTTATTGTTTCAATACATACAACAGTAACAGTTTAAAAAGCAGTCAAAACACACTTGGAGAGGCTGGGTAACTTAAAATGCCTGGGTGAACGGAAAAGTTTGACCTGGCAGAAAAATTATGCCAAGATTTGGAATTAATCACACTTCCGTGCAGATGGTATTCCACCCCTGGGATACCCCAACAGAGAAAATAATGGATCCCTTGAGAAAGATGCTGGGATAGAGGGTGAACTCCCGGGTCCCAGATTGCTTTGGCTTTGTTAAAAAAATAAAAAATATATAATTGGCAGCTGACTTTCCAGTTCTATACCATACTAGTCAGGTGCAAGTCCATTAAGACTTAGCATGGGTGTGTATAGTACCACAGCTTACCATTGCATTACTCTGCAATAGAGTTCAGTTCAAGATAAGTGGCAACTGGATTGGAACTGTATGATGGGTACTTTGCAGGAAAATCGCATTGTTCAGTGCTGCGTCCTCCCAGACAAATGGGTATAGGATTGGAGTCTGACAGGGCAATTCTATGCATATTTACTTGGATGCAAATCCAACTGCTTTCAGTGGTATTTATTCCTGGGAAGGCATGCGCAAGTCTTAGACTCTGAAATGCAGCTCTAGATTCTTGTTTGTTCAACCAGGCTTGGTTTTCATCACATGTTCTGGAGGTTTTCTGTATTTGTTTCCCTCACTTCCCTTAATTTGATATTCAATATATGTTCTATTTAGAGATATAGCTTTAAAAGTGTCCTGTAAAAAGGCACACGGCATGTAAATCCGCTTACACAGAAGCCAAACAGCACTAATACAAAACTTCTTAGCATCCTTAATACTAGGGGTAAATACATGTAACATTTATCAAATGTAAACTCTTTGAATGCAGAACTTTATTTTTAAAAAATGTTTCTCTCCAATATTCAAGGTTAAACACCATCTTATTAACAGTTACACTGCAAGCCAGGATATAATGTCTCCTGTTGAATTATTTATAGGGTTTGTTTGTATTATAATGGTATTTTTATCGGCTTTTTTCATTTTGTGTTTTGTGAGCTGCCTTGGGTGCTTTGAACAGAAGCAAAAAGCCAGTTCATTGGTTTGTTGTTGTTGCTGTTGTGCAAATACATTAGCTGTTTAAAAAGTGGATCACTGATTTCCACCCATTCAGAACCTTGAGAAGGTTTTCATTTGGGAGGGGGGTCATTAATATAAATGTCACATGAAGAATGAAATCTGACCAGCAGACCGAACTCCTTCATTCCTGGCACACAGACAGGCATTCAGCAGGAGAAGTCGTACCCATAATTGTTTCAGGCATGAGGGTAGCAATGTACCTGTTTGATTTCTGCCTACCGGCGCTGCCTTGGAAGCAGCTGTGGAAGGGTCTGTGGGCCTTGCCATGGCACAGCGGTGGTCAGGGAGAGAGCACTAGCAATGTTCCTTCTGACAATGATGCTGATTATGATAGAATTAGGAGACAAAGAGCAGGGGGATCAAGCACAGGCCTCCCCCAAGTGGCTAATGTTGCCCCTTGGTGATAAATGCACTCTGTCCATGTTCAGGGGTCTCTTCTCTGCCATTGCATCTTCCAGGCCTCAGCCTTGGCACTCAAAATAGCCTCAGGAATTTTGCCCAGGTTCCACATAATCCTCAAATATTTCTCCCTGGCTTTCCATGTATCTCAACAGACCCTTAAGAGAGAGTTTTTTTAGAAGAAACTTGTGAATTCTCCAGTGTTTTGCTTATGGCGCTGCTAAATTCACTCGCCTTTCCTTCAGGCAAGTGTCAAATGCAGAGAAGATGGGCAGAGAGGGAGAGATTTTTCTCTCGAGGTTCTAATTAAGAGAGAAGGGCCAAAATGCAGGGAGGCTGCCTGCAAAGGCCACACACGCAAAGCCAATCCTTGTACAAAGCTGACTTTTGGTTTAAGATGTCTGTGTTTAGCTGTGACCTTTGGGAGAAGCAAGGGAGAGAGAAGCTACTGGGGCAGAAAAGAGCGGGGGGGGGGTGCTCTCTTGAATAGAGAACTGGGCAGCAAATGGTTTCCTCTTTTTGGCCATAGGGGGGCAGGTCTCTAGAGGTGAACATTTCTAGAAATTAAATAGAGATTCTGAGCTGTATAACTGCCTAAAATCACTTCTGACCTGGGAATCTGATTTCTTAATCCCAGATGTACAGTTGCTTATTACAGTTATTTGTCGCTTCTCACTGCAAAAATCTACCTCTCAAAGCAACTTATGCGCAGAAATATAGAACCGCACAATTAACAAAACCAAACCCCGCATTGTCATTATAAAGCCTCATCAGCACAGTGATATGAGTAAAAACAAACACCATAAAAACATAATCCGGAAACCGTGCGCATGCATGTACCATGAAATGCATGTCAGTGGCGCCCTGAGCATGTCAGAGAAGGCCGTTCCCCTGGTTGGCTTGGCAATAAAAATCGGATTGCCTGGGAGATGGGTAGTTAGCCTCGCTGCAAATTAAGCCCTGCCAGCTGAGGAGAGGCCCTTTGGCCCACCCTCCCCACCGCCGCGGCATCAGCGGTGGCACACGCAGCGTCAGGCGAGGCGCTGCCACCGCTGGGTGGTTCACTTGGGAAAATCATTATAATCATTGCCTGATGTGTGGGGGCGACTGGCATCCCTGAGCACATTTGCACGTTCCCCCTCGAAGGCCCCTCGGCAGCCCACGAGCCGAGTGTGGGCCCTTGCGTGCGCATGCACACGTGTGTGGACGCATCACTCGATTTCCGTATGCAGCACCCCGTTTCTTGGCTGGCTGCTGGATGTAGTATGACTGTTATCAACTGCCGTGGCAGGTCTGTCTGTTTCATTTCCACTCTGGACCAGTAGAAGGAATTACCAGATTGCATGGAATTTGACTTTGAAGAAAGACTTGAAGGGAGAAAGGGAGGAAGGCAGCATCAGTAGCTCTCTCGGGAGGGAGTTCCAGAATGGCTTTTAGATTCTAAAAAGGGATATTACTTGTATTCCTTTCACTTTTTAAAAATTGTCATGTGAAACACTAGGCCAAGAGAGTGTGGAGCCTCTTTGAGGCCAGCGGTCAAATTCAGCTTGGAGAAGTTCTCTTGGATGGGCAATGCAAATCCCCAAAGGGTATGGCACTAAATTCATAAGAGGGGAAAAACATCCACAATACTAAACTATTCCGCTTCATGCTTTTCCTGCCATAAAGTTGTTTTACCCATTAGAACGGAGGAAGGGGTGGGGTGGACATACCAAGGCCACAAAGCCACCAAAGGATAGGCCGTGGTCGGTGGGAAACAGGAACCAGCTTGGGTAGCCCTGAAGGCTGGATTTGGCCCCTGTGCCTCTACACCCCCATCCTAGAGACTGCAGTACAGGAAGCAAGGACTGACGGAAAAAATGGCTTGCGACTCCCATCAGCCTGGGTGTTGTAGGCCATTTTTCCTGACCAAACATGCCTAGGCTTGTACCTTAAGTTTGTCTTTCCCCGCCTTATTTTGGAACAAGGTTCACATTTGGAGATGGAGAGCCAGATAGGAGCTGAAATGTGAGGCCAGGGCA